GAAAAGAGCCGCACTGAAAAGGCAACCCCCAGCCCCGATGCACACTAGCCTTGTGGTTAAAACGTACGCCTTACTTTAATGTAAATCAGTGCTAGCATCCAACCATGAGACTACGGTTTTCTAACATGTTAGTTATTAATTTTCTGCGCTCTGGGAGACTCTTTGGAGCTTTCTCTTGTCCATTTTTGAGCACCATCGTGCCATGCTGTCAGAGACCAGGGCTTGCTCCAACACCATGACACAACGGTGAACTGTCCCACATCAAACTCTCCAATTCCCTTGTCTCTTTTCTAAGCTTTTAATCGCTGCCTGGCAGACTAGAGAAAGTTCATAGAAAAAGCTGTTAGTTGTTCAGTACCAGTACCATGTGCTCTGTGGTGTTTGTGTCTATCTTGCAGACAAAATAGGAAATGGAGCTAAAATCCCCTGGTGTGCGAGGTGAAAGGTCCGCAGTTGCCACTGCGCAGCTCACACAGGCTGCCCGGAGAGGCTTGAGGAAGTGACAGGCCCAGGAACAGGAAGTTAAATGAAACCGATGTGAAACCTAGAACCGCTGCATTTCATTTTCAAGGTGACTTTAAAAAAAAACAGTAATGAAAAAGTCCCCCTCGAAGAGCAGAGCTTCTACAGAACAAGAAGCAGAAGGAAGTCACGTTACATGTCCTGCCTTCCCACACAAAATGGATTCATCATTCTCTGCAGAGCTCTCATTTCACACTTCCTATTACTGCCTGTGCCATTGAGAAGCACCAAACATTCATCCCTCAGCCTGAGCGAGCTTTTCTTCAGGGCAGAAAGACTGAGCAACAGGTACAGTGAAGACCAAGTAGCACAGGAGGCTACTGAGCTCAGCTCCAAAACGTTCAACTAAACCCATGCAGAACCCAAAGGAAGGAGGGCTGCTCCCTAGCTGCTCCCGCTAGCTCCAGATCTACCCCAGGCACTGAGGGCAGCTGCTTGCTGTGCTGACACAGGCAAAACACTTGTGCTCAGGAGAAATCGCACAACCGCCGCTGTCTTGGGCAATAAACTTCCAGCTAGCTCGCTGCGCTGAGCTTCACAATCTGCCATTAACAGCAGTTCGAGAGTCAGCACCACGGAACCAGGGAGCGCAGACAACAGGAACTGCAAGCACAGAAGGTACAAGCCTTTTTTCTGTTAACAAAAGAAGTCAGCAAGCTGAAGGAGAGGATGTGAATGGCTCCTGAGTGACTGCTCTCCAAAGCCGGCCCTGCACCCCGCGTCCCGGCCTCTGTGACAAAGCGCAGTCTCTCATCACCTGGCAGGGGCCAAGCACCCGCTCTAAGGGGAAAGGTCGGACAGGACAGCGCCTCGCTCCTTTAACTCGTCCCCTCTCCCAACAGCAGTCGCTACGTGTGCGCAAGCACAGCGCGCCGCTGAGCACCACTGTGCTCCTTAACTCGGAAACGCGGTTCGAGAGGCTCAAACACAAAAGCAGCAACAACCACCAAAACACTAAGAAGTGGATGCCAAGCACCCTCATGCAGCCTCCTTGCCCCCTCGCCAAGCAGCCATTTCGTTGCTGCTCTCGCTCACCTTCTGCTCGCAAAACCCCCTCGCGCTCCTACCTTGCAAGGCCCGGGGGCTCCAGCTGACAAACCTGCTGCTCTTCACCCAAGCACCTATTGCTGGCCCCAGTTTTGGCTTATGACACCTCACAGTTCCTGTTTTAACTTCAACTAATCGACTTCCTGCGTCCCAGCCCCCCGCTCCGCGCTCAGCTCGCGAGCACCGAGCCGTGCGTGTTTCCTGCGCAACCGGCAGGCCCTGCACACGGGTGCTCCGAGCACGGCCGCGGGGCTTGGGAGCGCATGGTCACCTTGGCTAACGCGCAAACCAGATCACCGTGTCCACGGCTTCACCTGCTCCACAAAGTACCGTGCCACGCACACACAGAGAGCTCGCGTGGCTGAAGCCAAATTCAACAACCGCAATGAGAACCTGAGCGAGAAAGCGGCTGCTTGCAGAAGGAATCTGGCTCAATACATTAGGGCACAATTACAATACATGTATAAACGCAGAGGCACATAATTTATGTCCTACGTGTCTGTAAAAAAAATGCAATGTCTATATCTATGCATGTATAGATAAACACAAAGGATGTATAGATAAGCACAAATCAATAAGCACCTCCAAGGCAGAAAAAAAAAAAAGAAGAAATGAGAGGATGGAAAGGATGTAGTCAAAGGTCCCAAGCACTTACAAGCACTTGCTACGTTGCTTCACTAGCGGAAATCCGTTGCTTCACTAACAGAAATCCTAAATCACTTAGGCAAACTGGCCACTCAAAAATCTATGGGCCCAGATGGGATGCACCCAAGAGTGCTGAGGGAACTGGCCGAGGTTATTGCTCAGCCTCTCTCCATCATCTTTGAGAGGTCCTGGAGAGCAGGGGAGGTGCCCGAAGACTGGAAGAGAGCCAACGTCACTCCAGTCTTCAAAAAGGGCAAGAGGGAGGAGCCGGGCAATTACAGGCCGGTCAGCCTCACCTCTRTCCCTGGAAAGGTGATGGAGCGGTTCATCCTAGAGAGAATCTCCGGGCATATGGAGGAGAAGAAGCTGCTGAGGAGCAGTCAGCATGGATTCACCAAGGGGAAGTCATGTCTGACGAACCTCATAGCCTTCTATGATGGGATGACAGGCTGGCTGGACGAGGGGAGAGCTGTGGATGTTGTCTACCTTGACTTCAGCAAGGCTTTTGACACTGTCTCCCATAGCATCCTCATACGGAAGCTCCGGGACAGTAGACTAGACAAGTGCACGGTGCGGTGGATCGAGGGCTGGCTGGATGGCAGAGCTCAGAGGGTGGTGATAAATGGGGCCGAGTYCAGYTRGAGGCCTGTGGCCAGWGRTGTCCCCCAGGGGTCAGTGCTGGGCCCAGTGCTGTTCAACTTCCTCATCAATGACCTGGACGAGGGCACGGAGTGCACCCTGAGCAAGTTTGCAGATGACACCAAGCTGGGTGGAGTGGCCGACACTCCGGAGGGCTGCGCTGCCATCCAGAGGGACCTGGACAGGCTGGAGAGTTGGGCAGAGAGGAACCTCATGAGGTTCAATAAGGACAAGTGCAGGGTCCTGCACCTGGGGAGGAATAACCCCAGGCATCATACAGATTAGGGGTCGACCTGCTGGAGAGCAGCTCCACGGAGAGGGACCTGGGAGTCCTGGTTGACACCAAGTTAACCATGAGTGAGCAGTGTGCCCTCGTGGCCAAGAAGGCCAATGGGATCCTGGCTGCATCAGGAGGAGTGTTGCCAGCAGGTCAAGGGAGGTGATTCTGCCCCTCTACTCAGCTCTGGTGAGGCCGCAGCTGGAGTACTGTGTGCAGTTCTGGGCACCCCACTATAGGAAGGAAGTGGAGCTTCTCGAGAGGGTCCAGAGAAGGGCAACCAGGATGATTAAGGGAATGGAACATCTCTCGTATGAGGAGAGGCTGAGTGAGCTGGGCCTGTTTTCTCTGGAGAAGAGAAGGCTCAGAGGGGATATGATTAATGTGTATAAGTTCAGGAAGGGAGAATGCAGGGAGGAAGGGGACAGGCTGTTCTCACTGGTGGCCAGCGACAGGACGAGGGGTAATGGCCATAAGTTGAAACACAGGAGGTTCCGTCTGCAGGTGAGGAGGAACTTCTTCACTGTGAGGGTGACAGAGCCCTGGCCCAGGCTGCCCAGGGAGGCTGGGGAGTCTCCTGCTCTGGAGGTCTTCAAAACCCACCTGGATGCCACCCTGTGCCACATGCTCTAGGTGTGCCTACTGGAGCGGGAAGGTTGGACTAGATGATCTCCAGAGGTCCCTTCCAACCTTAAATATTCTGTGAATCTGTGAATCCTAAGTTTTACAGTAAGTAGCAGAATTACACTAAATAATTAGAATTACTAAAAGAATTGCTAAAAGAAAAACTAAAAGAATTACTAAATAAATATCTCAAACCCAAATAATTTCCATTCTGATTAAGTGAAACACAAAAAGCTTCTAGAGCCACTTTTTCTGGATATTGATCAAAACAGCAACCAACATGGGTTCAGCCAGACAGAGATGGAACAAGTTGTTGAAATTTTTGAAGCAGTGATTGCCAGGTAGAAATTTCACACCTTTCATTATATCAAACCAGAAAATTGTTAAGTCAGACATGATTATGAGCTCAGGAGTACCTTTGGGGTTTTGTTCCCCTCCCCTCCTCATCAAAGCTCTAGTTGCTTCTTCCAAAAGTATGAGATATGCAAACATCTCTGAGCCAACAGGAGCTTGTCTTACAGTGGAGGCGGGTGCCAGCTTCAGGTACTGTGCAGAAAACTGGTACCATGAACTTGAAGGAGATGCACTTGGCTTTTAATTCTTTCTTCTCTTAAAAGCAGTAGGAACATCATGTCATACTATTAGCTTTGGTCTTCAGTGAAAATGGGGTGTTTGATGAGATTTTTAGAGTCTGCCTTTGGCTCCTAATATTCATGGCTATTACGTTTTAACTTGTCTCAAGTTAGCTACAAGTTAACAGCACAGTTTGCTGTTGCTAACTCCTGTGACTTTCTTGGCATTGCACAGTCCTAAAGGGGGTCCAGAATTTAGTTCACTCTGCCCAAAGGCTGTTACAAGTGAAAACAGGTAACCTGCAGTTTTATTAGAATTGCTTTGCAGCATAAAGTGCTATTTCCTTTTGTCACTACAGCAGTAGCTGAAAAAGGCTGAGAGATGAGAATGGAAGACAGGCAATGATAATGGCTCTTCAAATAATGAGACACAGATCTTCTCCAATCAACACACAAGGAAGAATACACTGAAAGGAACTACAGCCTTACAGTGCACCCACAGAAGTTATGATACAGCAGCAGTACACCCTCAAGGTATCTGACAGACACATAATGACATTAAACTTGCATCTGAAAAATAATCTTTATTATATACAGGAGCATGTATCCTACGAAACTATAGGCAAAGTACTTGGTCACTTCATTTTACATAATTGAGAAATATAGGACTCAGGACAGTGTAAAAATGGGTATGTAGTGCCAGTGTTCTGGACCTGCCAGAGAGTTGGTTTAAGGACAATAATGAAATCAATCCATCCACTAAAAGGCTTTGTTCAGGGACTAGAGAATCTTTGTTTAGCAAAAATATCAAAAGAGCCACCTCTTTCACTTTGAAAAATGTGGGTGGCTACTGAAGCCACAGGCAGATACAAGCCTTTTTGTAAGTGCTCCAAGCAGAGGACAGGACAATTTGGTCACTGACCAGAAACTTGACTGGAACAAGCTTCTTTGTATTCAGCCTTCTCCCACAGGAAGAAGGCACTGTCTCACTTCCAGGACATTTTCAGAAATCCTCAGAAAAAAACACAGCTTTCCATGTAACACACAGGATCAGGTCCACTTGCATAAGCTTGTTTTAGATTCACACAAGTCCAAAGCTGACTAGATTTCCACAACAGGCTTTTTCTGAAGTACAGATGCTAACACAGGCCTCAGAACTCTGTCTCCATTCACAACCTAGGAGGAAAAGATTGTTTGGGGGACTTCTGCCTTTGACTTGGGCCCATATGCCACATAATGGCACTCTTCAGCATAACCTATAGAGGTTTAACCTTGTGACAAGTAATCAGTGGACCAGAACACAGCAGCACAGCTCCTCTCTTTTCAAGAGGTGTGTAAGCATCTTCTCTCTTCAAGGACAGGTACATAAATGTTAAAAACAGTAAGGTAATTAACTTGGAAATAAATTTTTAAAAAGTTTTGGTTTTGTTCCTATTTCTTTTTCAATAATTAAATTACTGACATTATTTTACAGGCTTATCAGAGCAGACATATGTTTTTAAATGGAATGCTCAGCAGGTCCAGACACAGACACAGTTGGCCCTTCTTTGACAAGAGGGGCAACTGAGCAGGAAATAGGATCTTGAAATTTCATTCATGTTCCTTGAAGGCTCCATAGTGTTATTAAGATACACATTATAAACACTACGGTGGCACACAGCAGATCTAAGGACCATCAGGAAGAAAAGATTATCCTTCTTAATACTAGCTACAGGATTTCCCTAAGCCAGCTCACCGATAGAGTTCAAGAAGGGGAGGATCATGAAGTTCCTAAAATGCACTGCAGCAACCCAAAAAGGCAGCAGTAGGGTGAAGTGGTGATTGCAGCTACCCTGCAGCTAGGCTTGCTAGCCCTGGGACTTCAGAAAGGGTCGGGGCTCCTGTTTTATGCTTTACAGGTGGCCCGTAAAGCATAAGAAGAGCAAGACATGAAGAACAAACAGATACATGGCCACTAGCAGAGGCAGGTGGGTTCGGGAATGGAAGAGAGATCGTAACAGGCGCCACAGTCCAGGTATACGCCGAGTCTGGAAGAGTAAAAGAAACAGCAGTTAGTGCCATGAATGACCAAGTTCCCATTTGCCTTCACTTGGAGCTCTCTAGGTTTTGAAGATAACTTTGTCTAAGCTAACAAGCATCAACCTTCTAAAATCCCTTCCACTGTGAGATTCTGCCTCCAGAGCAAATCCTCAGTAAAGTGTTCCCCAGCCCCACAGACAGAACCTTCTTTCTGAAGGCTGGCCATGAGCCAGTACTCTCCATCTCTGCTTGAAGAAAGCCAACAAAATGCAGAACTCTCCCCCTAACATTTGCTACCTATAAATTTCTAGCTCCTCCAAGTCACATATGAACAAGTGGATCAATGGTATTTTTCTGCTAGGGACTCAAGCTAACCTCAATTCATCCCATTGGATAGAAGATGAAAGTGTTCTTTCATTAGTTTAATTCCCTTCACCCTGCCGAGTTCAAAGATTTCAGATCTTGCTCAACAATCCAGATACGGTGATCTTACAATGCAGGCAGATCTTACAATCTTCAAACAATGCAACATCAAAAGGCAAACTTCCAGTACAAAAGAGAAAACAATTTGTTCTACTAAAATTCCTCAGGCATGAATGCAGGGTAGCATCCAGCTTTCTCTGTTGCCCTAGTTCTTCTTACGCTGCTCTTGGAAGTAGTGTCCCCTTCCTTCTGGTGAGGGCACACTCTTCAGCAGGGCATCATTCTTACCAAAACAGGACAAGGTGCTGCCGGGCAGTCACCCAGTACAGTAAAAAAGCAGCTTTCTGCGCTGCCTTCCAGCCTGAATGACATCGGCTTGAAAGGAGATTGGGGAGGAAAGACTGAGGTGGCGGCCAAGCAAGAGACAACCACTAGAGATGCTGGGGCCATTAACATGGATGCTTCTTATGCAAGCAGTTACATATCTGCACACTCAGCTGCTTCCCACCAAGGCCTTGGTCCAACAAGGAACCTTGGACCACACCTCAAGTGCAGACAGTGTTGATCTATATTTTAGTGGCCTCTGTAATACATTCCACTCATGCAGACTGCAGCAAAACCACATTCAGAAAATTTCTGAGAATGGAAAGCAGAGCAGGCCAAAGAAGAAAATAAAAACACAGAAATCCCTACAGAACTAGATATGCTTAAAGCAGGACTTAGCCTACTACAAGTCCATGGTTTTATGTTCATATTTTCATGCAACAGTCAGGGCTCACATCAGCGGCAGCTGTGAATGAAAATCCTTACTCTGTTTGAAGTATTATCCATGGAGTCAATCAGCAAGGAACGCTCTTGACCTGGAGTCATATCAACGCTCGCAGTTAAGGAAGGTGTCCACTCACTTGACTCTAGCCTGCAGCAACAAAATATTAAATCAGCTTCAGTTTGTTACGATGCCCCAAGCAAACACTGTAGAAAAGAGTCTGAAAGAAGTAACTTCATCAAAAAAAACTGAGCAATCACTGCAAACCATCAGGGGCCCTACGTGATCAAAAGGATGCTTTTATTTAAACAGCTGTAGTTCCTCATAAGCCCAGTTGGAACAGAATAACTGGGTGACCCAAGTAGCAATAATCTTCTGTCCTCAAAATTAAATTAGTCCCAAATTACCTGGAAGCTGCTGAAACCATAACAGAGCAGGCATACTGTGCCCTCTAAAAAATACAATTGCTGTGCTAACCACCTCTTGTGTCTGCTAATCAGAGAGCATAGAAACACTTCATATTGCATTATGTGGGGATTTCCATTCCTTTCCAGTAGCAGAGACAATTCACCTGCTTGTAGTAAAGTCTTCTATTACCCAATTTTATATCCTGTCATTTAAAAACTCTTGATTTTCTGTATTGTTTCCTCCTTTGTCTTTCAGGAAACTCAGATGTTTTAACTTATCTAAGGTCTGTGTGTTCTACGTGAACTAAGGTCTGTGCTTCCATGTGAAATTTCAAGCTTGTGACTTGAAAGAAGCCAGAACAGCTGACATAAACAGTCTAATTTCTGAGAAATCATTCTGGAGATCAGTTCTGGCCCCGGTGGTAACAGCTCTTGCAAACTATTTGCCAGCATTAGATTTTCAAGATTGGTAAGTTACCATTGCCTGGTAAATTACTATTACAGCATAAGACACATAGGCAGCACTGTCAAAATTTTCAGCTACCATTAGTTAATGAAATGGCTCAGCTGTCAGAAGCCTCTGTAGACTTCAATGCTACAAGAGGATAACGCTGAGTTGTGTATAGCAATACCAGATAACTTCATCCAAAATTCTTGCCTTTGGCCATATTTTTGTTTGACAAGCAAGGGTATCAGGAAGAAAGCACTGTTCTGATGCATAAGATTACAATAGTAGCTTTTATCTTGACTACCAAGAGTTGACACACAGAAGTAGCAACAATCCAGTTAAGTGGCAAAAAAACTCTTACAGTCAATTAGAAGAAACAAGGATTTCCAGCACATGACTCATCCTAATGACTAATGCAGGTCAGCCTCATGTTCCCTGCTGATTGTAAATGCCTGGGAAGCACCTGAGAACTCTTCCCTTCATTCAATACTGAGGTTCCATACTTTGCAGTAATTTATCTTCCTCACTGAAGAGGTTTGCAACTTATTTCTAGTCAAATTTTATCTCAAGTTTTTGCTCAATTATCTCATTCTATCATTGTCCGGAAGATTAAAGACAGACATGGCATAGTTGTTTCTACATGGACAGTGGCACTGAACATAGGGATGTGTGAAGTGCAGAGATGAACAAGCAACTAGAAGCATCCTGCTTTTTATCTTAACACTGTTTGCGCAAGTCCCCTTACCTCCTGATCTGATCCTGGGCTGCAGAGAGAGCCTCCTCTGCAGCAAGACGCCGCTCATGTTCTTCTTCCAGTTGCTCTTCTAAATACCTCAGATCCTGCTTTGTGCTGCTATGTAAGTGTTCAGTTTCAGACAACCTGCCAGAAAGCACACAAGTATATGCTAAAATGGAACAAAAGTCTATTCCTGGACTACTGTTTCTGTTGTATTCACTGATACAGTAGGTTAACAGATTTTTTCTTCTACCTCACACAGAAGAAAATTATTTCAAGTTTTCTTTAAATTTACATTTTTTTAAAATATTTAAATTACCCTGAAAATCAGAGTGAGGGGACTTCAAGTCTCTTGAAGTTGGTGCATCACATCAGGAAGAAGTTCTTTGCCTCTGTTATCCATGTCCCTATTTCCAAAGGGTACAAGGAACTGTCTGCCAGGTCTCAGTACCAGATACAGGTAGGTACCAAGACCAGGACCATCAATATACTTCATTAGCTACTGGGGACCCAGCCCACTAAACCAAAGATACTAATCTGACCAGTGACAGTCTGCAATAACTGCTCTTGCATATTGTTTCTTTAGTGTTTGAAGCTGTTTGCAAAGACGACTTCTTAAGCCATCAAGCACATCAACATTTCATCTACTTCTATGATAGCTGACTGTGGAATTGAGTTGCTCAAAGCTCCAGAACCAGAACTGGGCTCTTGCCCAGTTCTCAGCCCAAGGCCTTCCCATCGAAGCTAATGCCTACCAGCCCACCCCCATTCTCACAATTTCTTTACCTCAGTTGCAATTCCTGTAGTTCTGGTGCATAACTCTCTCTCTGAGGCTCACTCTTTTCTTGGGGTGCTCCTGGAGCAGCATCTGTTGCAAACAACTTCTAGAAACAAACAAACATACGCGAATGTTTGGCAGAAGGGTACCGAATGACCAGAGTAGAAATTAACTACAATGCTGCATAGTTAGTGGGGCAGTAAGCTTTTCTCACTTGCATTAAAAGGAAGACCCTTACCTTGTCTGGAGACTGTTGTAGCTCCTGAAGCTGCCTCTCAAGCAGCAAGCAGCGGTTCAGAACCTCATTGTAGTGCTGATGGCCTTCACTGATATTCCGGCTACTACCTCGCAGTTGGAGGGAGAGGGCATTTTTCTCCTCAAAGACCTGAGACAACTGAGAAAAAAACAAAACTACTGAGTAGAGAAGTTTTCAAAAATCCTTCTGGAAGCAAAGCTGCTTTCTAGGTAAGTGAAGGTAAGACTTTTACAAGAATATAGAAACTGCCATACTGTACATTTCTAAGGTCCAAATATCAATGATAACTTCTAACAGCATCTCATGGCTTTGATTTCAGAATAGGGGCCCTGAAAAGTCAACATGGCATATAGGATAACATGCTTCCAAAACAAGGTTGAAAGTGTTAAGATTGACCTGAGTCTTCCAGAAACACCATTAATAAATTACGATTTTATATTCTTGTCTCCTTGACTGCAAATCTCTTTGAGAAGCTTGCTATATTTTTAGCCCTGTGTTTCTTCATAGGAATTGGATCACTTGTGATTCTGCCCTGAAATACAGCAGCTTTATAAAGACAGCAGAGAGAACTAAAGATCGTAAGCATGCCTTCTGAAGGCGGGACTTCACGAGTCTAAAAGGCAAGAGCCTTTCACCACTCAGCTAGACAGAGTATTGGCTGCCCTGATCCAGTGTTGCTGGTAGCACTACTTCAAGTAGGTAAATACTAGATAATCTTTAGAGGTCTCTAACCTGTATTTCCAATTCTGTATTTCACTAAATGCTCACAAAAACAGAAAGATCTGGTCCTGCTCCTCGAAACCTGTTCAAGCAATTCCTCTTCCCCATATGGCTCAGCTCAGATTCCACGAGAAAGCAGAAGACATAATAGGTACCTTGCTGTTTAGCTGCTGAATCCTCAGCTCTTTCTGGTGCAGCTCTTTCAAGGTGTCACTTAGCTGGGCCTGAAGAAGTTTTGTCTCTGCTTCTACACTTGAAAAGTCACCTTTCAGAACTTCTGGAGAAATCTACCAGGGTAAGTAGAGACAGGAAATATATCACACATGACAACGCTCTTCAACATATATTCTTCTTTCTTTAGTATTCCAAGATCAAAGCCCTACACTGTTCCTAGGTCTGGAACTTGACTTGCTCAAAGAAAACATCAAACATGTAATAACACAGAAATATCCCAAAAGGCATCTGAAAAGCCAAAATGGGAAAAAAAGTAAAATCGCTCAACTTGCACACAGCATTGTTGTTTCTCAAAATTTGAACAACACATGACGAGAAACAGCACAGTACAAACAGCAATAAAAGGGTGACAGAGCAGTGGAACAGGCTGCCCAGGGAGGTTGTGGAGTCTCCTACTCTGGAGGTCTTCAAAACCCGCCTGGATGCCACCCTGTGCCACATGCTGTAGGTGTGCCTGCTTGAGCAGGAAGGTTGGACTAGATGATCTGTAGAGGTCCCTTCCAACCTTAAATATTCTGTGAATCTGTGAATCTGTAAAACCATAAAAACCTCAAAAGACTTAATGTCACATTCTAATTTTTTAATGAGAACTACAACAAAACAGAAGATTCTACATTCAAAGAGAATGTAAGAGACAAACCTAAACCAGTCATATTGAAAAACCACACTGGTTAGATGGAACTAAAATACCTGGCAAGTGCAAATACCTGCCAGTCTCTTTTATCCTCTCCTAGAAATTTAGGAACTAAGGGAAGAAGCTATTAAGGGTATGTCAGGGTCCTCTATAGGTTTTCAATAACCCAAGTTGTTTTGTTGTTATTCTCCTTGAAAGACACACACAAACAAAATTTGATAGTACAGTCTGCAATACCTTTGGCCTGTTACATATGAAGACGGGAAAAAACAGTACTCTGGCTGAACTTCAAGCCTCAGATTTTCATGCTAGGCAGAAACATCTCTATTTCCACTTACCTTCTTCTGGTACTGCTCCTCTACAGTCTGAGATTTGCTGAGGGGCAGCCTCATTTCTTGCATTATCTTTTGTAAATGGCTCAGCTGCTGGTCTTTATCAGCTATGACCATCAGGTACTGCTCCTTCATGCTGCTATTCTGTTTTTCCCAGGCAGTCTTTTCTTGTCTGCAAAGCATCACACAAAAGAAATTACTGGGAATTTATAAGTAATTCTTATGATACCCAGGTGTCCAGCTCAGAATGAACCAAGATGCTCGATATTTCCGATCATCACTCTGTGCTGGAAAAGTAACCTTTGATGACAATAACATTTCTTATTTGGTTTAGCATTGCAGATTTACTACTCACATATTTGGTACTCCAAATACGAGCCATTTTATGTTGTTGCTGTACATAGAGTTTCGGCCAGAACATCTCTGATAATGCAACTTTTAACCATAACTTTAGCATCATCTCAGTCATACACATCAAAGCCACAACACTGATCCCAATATGTAAATTAAGTCTTTCACTTCACTTGCACAGTAGACGTTCGATAAATAAGCCCTCATTCTTTTATCAGGAGATAAGTAAAACTTGCAAGCTACTTAAAACTTGACAAGATCTATTTAGTTTTCAGGTCAGATGTGGGGCAGTTAGGCAGAGGAATGGAGCATTACAAGTGTTTATATCTTTGTTCAGAGATAAGCCACGTATCATTTCCACAAAGTAACAGTCCCTCTCACACCACATTCTTTTATACTCAGGTATACCTCTGAAGTAGTCTCAGAGAAAACTTTCCCCACATTTAGAACAAAGAATAGCATTTTGGTCAATATAAGTCCTGCAGAGCATAACAGCTTACTAGACTAAAATTACAGATTGTTTTTGTGGAAGATATAAAGCAAGTAAATCAAAGTATGAAGTGAGTATTTTCTATACAATAGTATCAGTCAGATAATCAAGGGTATTTTCTCATTCATCAGTCTGGAATGGAGAGTTCCATCATTAAATAAATAAGCTCCAGTACAAGAAGCTGCCTAATTTTCTTCTGAAAGAGGATACTGGCCACCTCCAGGGGAAGGAAATAAAATTTAAAGCCATTCCACACAGCTATTTTCCTCCAATATGTTATTTTGCAAACCTTTACCCAAACCTGAGGCAAAAGGACAACCAAGGAAAACATATGCCTGCTCCTGACCAGGGCAGATGACTTAGTGACAGCAGACATAAATATGGGTATTCAATTTTTATTTTTCCTTTTGCCCCCTACACAGCGACACTTTGCATTATTAAAAAAAGCAATAATGATGGCAGCATATTTGCATATCTGAGGCAGTGAAGGCAAAAAGCAATTCTCACCTAAGCTGTTGGAGTTCTTGCTGATAGAAAATACTTTCACGCTTCAGCTGTTCATGGAGATGATGCTGTTTATCTGCCTCTTGTTGATATTCCTGCAGTTGAGCTTTTAAACGAGAATTTTCAGCTGTTTCCACACCAACTTGTATATATTGCTGCTGTAGATTCTTAAGCTCTCTCACCTTTAATTAAAGGAAAATATCAGACAGCGTGACAATCACTGAACAAGCAACTAGGTTTATTATTCATAAGCATTTAAAAGCATTTCTCACTATGGCATCTGGAGAAAAAGAAAAAAAAGGACATTCAGATGACAATTTATAAATTGATATCAGGGACTACAGCAGTCTACTAAAAAGCTGCTAAAAAACCCTCTGAAAGCACTAGTGTTAATAAAAGGTGAGGGGGGAGGTTGAAACATGCCATTAAGATTTGATGTATATTAACAGAAAAATCCTGGACTGGAATATTAATTCCAACATTCAGAAGGAGTGACAAAGGGACAAAGGAACTGAATAAGAACAGCTCCTGAAGTTGGCACTTAAGCGTTCCAAGAACCAAAAGTAAAGTCGGGGAATTTAGGAACTAAAAATCCTGTTGATAGTCTACAGAGACCGCAGCTAGAAGAACTGCTAGATGCCGCTGCACATCCATCGCTACCATCAGCTATCGGAGAGGACTAGATGATGCAGCTGACTCTGGAGACAGGGAAGTGCTTAATGAACAACGAAGGTTTGTCCCTGAGGATCCCTCAGCGTTAGAAATGCCACACAAATATCTAAGTTCGATTAAATAGCAACAGGAGAGACATATTTACAGACAGCTTAAAGATATTATACTGATTAAAAAGAAGCACTTAAGATAGTACACGAAGTCTGTTAGAGATTAAGGGAATAAAGGGAAAATTACAAGTAACCATGGAAAATGATGGTAAAAATCACTGTCAGACCAGCAAATAGAGCTCCAAAATTTTCTTAGTCACATTGTTTTAGAGACTATACAAACACAGACACTCACGCAAGGATGTCAGAACAAAGCTTCAATGCCCTGTACTTCCCTCGTCAACCAGCTGCCACAAAAGGAGAACAAACAAAAGCCTCCACAGATGTGGACTAGGCAGGTTAACAAGGAACCTGCATCTTATTCCTATTATTTCATATTTTAAAATTAAGCTTACAACTGAAACTATCCTGAAAAGTTAACAATGGAATCACAGGTAAGCTTCTGTGTGTCGTAAGAAAATAATTTTTGTTTTAGATTGTAAATATCAGACCTTGATCTACTGAATTTTAAGGAAATCTGATGATTCAGTAGAGGCCTCGAGGAAATCACCTCCAATTGCCACTGGTGCTTTATGCAAGAGCAGAGAGAGGATAGGGACTTACTAATCTGTCTCGGTCATTCTGCAAGGAGGACAGGGCCTTCTTAAGACTCTGCACTTCTGAAGGAGTAGTGAAAGGGCTTCCTGCTGCTTGCTGCTTCAGGTCTTCAACTTTACGAGTTTTGTCCAGTTCATTTAGCAGACGGTCTCTCTCGTCCTGCAGGCTAACTATAGCCTTAGAGAATGATTTGACTTGGTTGGAAGAGCTTTCTAGTTCTGAAGACAAATGGAGAAGCTCATCATCTTTAGCTCTGAGCTCCTGGTTAAGTTTCTCAATCTTGGCCAAGAGACCTTGTTCATCAGCAGCTTTCTGCAGTTCTGTCAGCTCAACTCTTACAGCATCTCGATCCCTGGCAACAGAGTTTTGCTCCTCCTGTAGTTGAACTATCTGTTTCTGAAGATTTTGCACTAGATTCTGATGTTCCTCTAAGTCTGAAGAACGTTTCTTTTTCAAAACTTGAAGCTCTTCATTGGCCTGGTCCCAGCTATCCTGAAGAGAACTCATGGACTTCCCAAAAGACTGAATTTGGGCCTTGAGATCTTTATTTTCCTCTGTGACTGTAAGAAATTTCTGTTCCATTTCCATCAGGTCTTGTGCCAGCTCTGCTACCCTCACTTCTGCTGTTTCTGTTTCATTCCTCAGTATCCCTGCATCATGATGTAGATGCTTCAACTCTTTTCTAAGCCTGTCCTCAGCCTCTTCCACCCTTCGGGCTGCATCTTTTTGAACACGTACTAGCTCCCCCTCAAGTTCTGTTATCCTTTTTTGTGAGAGGGCAAGCTTATGACTCAGCTCTTGTGCCTCCTCCTCTCGGTCCTTCAGCTGTGCTTGACACTCCATAATAGGACCCCCCTCACGTAATGCTGTCATCTCACTCTGTACCTGAGATAGAGAGGATGTAAGAGTCTCAACCTTTTGAGATATGTTGGCTTTATCTTCTTTCAAGACTTCCATGCACTTCCTGAGATTGTCCTGAGTATGCTCAGACTCTTTCAGCTGTGCTTCCACAACTGCCTTCTCCTTTTCCAGTGTTTGGATACGCTGAAGCTGTGTTTTAAGAAGCTGTTTCTGCTGAGAGTCCTTTATTGAAATCACTTGGTTCAGATCTTCTCTGTACCGTACCAACTCCGCATCCAACTTGGCATTCTCCGAGTGGAGGTCATCCATGCGACTACGAAAACTTCTGATTTCTTCCTTGAGCTTATTGTTTTCAGAAGCAGCCTCTTGAATTAGCTGGTCTTTCTCTAGGATTATAATGAGATGCCGTTCCTCAAGTTGCTTGTAGTCTCTCAGTACACGATCTCTGTCATCTTGCAAGGATGACATGGACTTTGTGAAGGAGTCCAATTGTGCCTTTTGCTGCTTACATTCCTCTCTATTTATTTTCATCTTTTCAGTGAGATGATCAACCTTGTCCAGGATTTTTTTCTTCTCATTTTCCAAAGCTTTTTTATCTTCTTCTTCCTTATTTAGCCTCTGCTCCAATTCTTTCATGGCTTCAGAATGTTGTTGCTGTAATTCAGATATGGCAGCCATAACTTCTTCTTCCTTCGCAGACAGTAAACTAATGATCTTTTGGTCCTTGGCACTAATTTCTTCATGCAGTTTGTTTGTTAGATCCTTCGAAGCCTGCAGATCAGCTGTAAGCTGTTCACAGCTGAATTTAAAATTTTGGATACTAGTCTCTTGTTGCTTGACCATATTCTCCAGTTCTTCTCTGACTAATTCGCATTTGGTGAAGGAATTCTGTAAGTCAGCAAGTTGGTCTCTCAGGGTTCCGATTTCTGACTCCAGTTTCTGCTGTTCATTCTGCGACTCTTTGTACAGTTTCTGAGATTCCTCTAGCTGAGTCGAAAGCTCTTTTTTCTCCTCCTGCAGCATTTCACATGTATTCTGATAATGCTGGATCTCCTTCTTGGAATCAGACTCACAGTCTTGCTTGTTGCGTTCCAGCCTGAAACAGAAAAGAAACTCAGACACAAATCAGTGAAGTAACTCAGCATCTAAATCCACACTGATGGTTCTCAGTAATGCTAATAATTCAGAAAATAAGGAAACAAAAAAAAGGAGGGCACAAAAAAGCACACATACCAGACAGAATTAGTATTATTTTTATGAAGTACAGAAATATCCTTATGATTAGTTCCCCTAAACTTAAAATTCAAAGCATCTTTTAAAATTCCAACACTGCTGTTGTCTCAGGAGACAGTCAGGAAACAACTAGTTTAAAAAAAACGTTTGGCAAGATAAATCTTTCTATAAATGCTAAGTACTAGTATTGAGAAACTAGAAGTGAGAAGCTAAATGCTATGATCTCCTTCTCATTAAAATACTTTTTTTCTCTCACCCATGTTAGCTAATGTAAACAAACAAACCTAAAACAAACACAAATCCCCAAACAGTAAAGTCATTGTTTCCACGTCTTAGGTCTTTCATGCTCACTTTACTGTGCAAAGATGCAGTGTTTTGATCATAAACTTTATAGAACATTTTTTTTCAAGCAAGAAGAGTTTAGTTTTGGATTTTTGAAACTAAGACACACATTTCCATAGTTCCATCTTTCCCTCCAAGCCTAAGCTGAGATTAAATTGGAATTTGGTATCTCAAAGCTCTCTTGTCCTGCCAGGTCTAGGTCAACAACCAACACATCTATTTTTAATCTCAAACTAAAAAGGACTCTAGAGAGCACTCAGCTGGCTGCTGCCTGCTCCAGAGAACAGATTTAGCAGGACGGACCTTGACAGGCTGGAGAGACGGACACAGAGGAACCTCATGAAATTCATTACAGGGAAGTACAAAGTCCTGCCGCTGGGAGGAATGGCCATGAACATCACCGTAGGCTGGGGACAGCAGGGTGGAGACCTGTTTAGCCTCAGGAGAAGAGAGGGCTCAGGAGGGGGACCTTATCTATGTGCATTAATATCTGAAAGGAGAGCATGGAGACAGTACAGCCAGGCTCTTTAAGTGATGAGATGAGAGGCAATGACTTGCACTGAAACACAGGCAATTTCATCCTAACTAATGAAAACCATTTTTCTCCCTCTGCCCCTGTGAGGGCACCCACTGTACACCCACTGTGAGGGTAAGAGAGCACTGAACAGGCTATCCAGAGAGGCTACGGAGTCTTCTTTATCCTTGGAAATACTCAAAACGTGACTGAACAGAGTCCTGGGCAACCTGCTCCAGTGACCCTGTCTGATCAGGGGGACTGGACTAGGATGATCTCCAGGGGTCTCTTCTAGCTTCAGCTATTCTAGGATTCTGTCTTGTCTCATCAGTAGCTGCTGCTTTGTCCAGGGGACATACAATAATAGCAGCTTAATCATCAGCACCTTCTTTCATTTACCTGGATATATGAATTTGAAGTTCTTCCACATGCATGGTCATCTGCTTCATCTGGTCCTTTAGAACACCACAAGTCTCCTCTTTCAAACGTATTTCTTCTTCTTTCTTTTGAATAGTCTCAGTGAATTTCTTCTCCCATGTTTTAGATTCATCTATTACTCTATCCCTATCGTCCTGAAGGGAAGACATACTCCTGGTGAACGCTGCCAGCTGAGCTAATGTTTTGGTCAGGCTGCCTTCCAATTGTTTGGCTTCTTGGTCCTTTGTCTGCAAGGCATCTTGAACATCATGAACACTTTTTTCCAGATAGTCTTTCTCCTTCTGCCAAGTTGACAGCTTTTCTTCCATGTTTTTAATTTCTTTTGAGTGCTTGTTTTTTTCCTGTTCCAGTCTTCTCTCAAAGTCATCGTCCTTTTTCTTCATTTGAATTTTAATATTCTCTTTGTTTGCTTGCAACTCCTCTTTCATTTTGACGTTCTCTGCTAAAACTCTTGCTGCCTCACTCTGAGTGTCATCCAGCACTACTTTGGAGAAAGCAAGCTCTGCTTGGGCTTTCTTGGTGTCTTCAACTGCTTTAGCTAAATTCTCTTTGGCTGCTTCTAGCTCTTTCTGAGACTCACTTTGGACAAATTCCAGCGCTTTAACAGTTCTTTCTAGACTACTGATCTTTTCCTGGCTTTTAATACAGTCCTTCTGCAGCTGCTTGATCTCCTGCTGTTTCTGTTTCAGCAGTTCCTGAAGCTCCTTTACAAGTGTGCTGTTGTCTCCCTTCCAAGCGCATTTCAGCTTTTCAATAGATTCCTTTTGCTTCTCTGAACTTGTTTTATTTTTCCCCTTTGCCATCTGACATTTCTCTTCCTCCAGTTCATGCATCATTCTCTGCAGACTCTGGAGCTCATGTTTCAATTGCTCATTTTTGATCTGAAAGTCTGCTGCATCTTGTTGGTAGTTTCCAATACTTCCATTAAGTTCTGCTAGCTGATTCATGAGCCTTTCTTCTAAGTCATCTTTCTCTGCTTCCAAGGCATTCTTCTGTTCTGTCATTCTCATGAGCTCCTCTTTACTTTTTTCTAGTGCTTGTTCCATCTTCACTACTGTGTCCTGGAGGGCATTCAATTCATGGACCTTCACTTCCATTTGGGTCTCTAAAGCCCTCTTCTCATCTGCTAAAGTTTCAACACTAACATGAATATTGCTGAGCTCTTGCTCTGAAGCTCTCCTGTTCTCTTCCAGTTCTGTGATTCGCCTTGTGAGGTCAGATATCTGTTGTTTGTAGGGATCAAGGTTTTCAGGTGGGCTGCTATCGTCAAGTGTTTTTTGTTTCAACTCTGCAGAACAGGACACTAAACTAACACTTAGGTCCACTTGACTTTCAGTCCCTCCTACTGGCGATGTTGTGGCAACTGCCTGATTTTTTTCCTCTGCTGTCTTTTGGGCAACATACTTGTCTACCATTTGTCTACTTTCCTTTAGCCTAGACTCTGTGGACTGCAAGTGATCCTTTAAGTCTTTGATCTCTAGAGTAAGAGATTCCTTTTCTGCCATTACTGTCTCAAGCTGAGTAGAAAGAGACTGGTAATCTCTTCTAGAACTCTCCAAAGCGTCTTTCAGGCTAGTATTTGTCATGAAAGCTACATCTCCAGACCTGCGTAGGTCTCCATCTGTAAAATTTATCTCTGCTCTGAGCTTCTCATTCTCTTCCTCTAGTTCTAAGATCTTCTGCTGCTTTGATTTTGCAAATTTCCTCATTTTTTCCTTCATTCCATCTATCTCCTGTTCAGCCTCCTGCAGCTGTTTATCTGTTTCTTCTTTTTTCGCTTCAGCACTTTTCATCTTAATGAAAATTTCCTGTTTTTCCTGTCTAACAGCTTCCAAAACACGCTGAATTCGCTCAGCCTCGTTACTTACATTCTCATAGGACTGCAGGAGAGTTTCATATTCTTTCTGAAGCTCCACATATTTCTCTTGCCACTCAGAACTCTCAGCAGCCTGAGAGCATTTCTGTGATTCCATCTCCTTCTCCAGCTGCTCCTTCTCTTGTGCAACTGCTTCTAGAGTCAGCTTCAGGTTTTTATAACATCCATCAAGATTCTGATTTTCTATAAGTGCTTTATCAACTTCTGAAATAAGTTTTTCTCGCTCTTTTCTGAGATCTACTAACTTTTCTGTTAAATCATCTCTTTCCTTAACATAGCCACATATTTGACTTTCCATGTCTGTCAACTTGACAGAAAGACTTTCTATAGTTGTTTCAGCACTAGCTAGCTCCTCTTTTAGAGATTTACTCTCCTTTAGTGCCTCTTTTCTAGAGATAAGTGCTGCCTGCAACTTTCTCTGCATTTGATTCTTCTGTTTAGTTTCTTCTGCACCATCATCTTGCTTTTGCTGAACATCAAGCAGTTCAGTTTGCATTCGCTTGCTTTGTTCCTCATGTACCTGGGCTTGAGCTTCCAACTGACTACACAGCGACTTGACAGTATCTTCTTTTTCCAGAAGCTGTGCCTGCACAGTAACGAGAGCTTCACTTTTCTCACTTAGCTGTAACTTGAGAGATGCAACCTCTTCATTTTTTTGGTGCATAAGGTCTTCGAGACTACCTTTTATAGAAATTTCTGCTTGACTTTTGTCCAATTCTATCTGAAGGTTTGCTGCCTTTGCTTGAGCTTCATCACAGGTTCTCTTCAGCTCACCTATCTCCAGAAGCAACTGTGCTACCTGTTCTTGTGAATGAGAGACTAATTCTGATTTGCAAGCAAGTTCACTTTCCATATGGCTGACCTTATATTCCAATTCTTCTTTCTTTGTCTGCAGTTTCTCAACTTTTGTCTTGAGGTCTTCTCCAGGAAGATCTACAACTTGTGCAAACTTGATGTCTGTACTGTTTTCTCCTTCTAAGCGTGAAGAATCCAACCAATTTTCACTCCCCCGAGGTGTATTTTCTGTTGAATCTCTCTGTTCTTGGAGCTGTCTGAGCTGAGCTTGGATGCTCTCCTTCTCTTTGCTTTGCTTATCAAACTCTTCTTGCAGGGTGTTGTAATCATCTTTCTGCTGTTTAAGCTGTTCTCTGTGATGTCTGTCTTTTTCTTGAGCCTTTTTTATAGTGTCTTTGCGAGATGCCAGGGCCTCCTGAAGTTTTTTTTGAAGTTGTTCTTTCTCTTGCTCAAGAGTTGAAATTCTCTCTTTTAGAGCAGCTTCCTGATTTTCTTCATAATTTGTAGCGACTGAACAATCTTTTTCATTTTCTTCATGATCTTTTAGGCTCTTACTGGTTTTAGGTAGTTTGCCAGCAACTGTCCAGCTTTCCACAACTTCAACTTTCATTGAATCACGAACACTTGTTTTAGCTTGCAAGCTTGGCCTCATTTCCTCAGTCGCTGCCTGTAAATGGACTTCATTTGTTTCTTTATCCAGCAAGTCTCCCTGGATGCTCTGCAACTCAGATTCCTTTTCAGAAAGCAGCTGAATCAGGTTCGCCTCCCTGGGCTGACTTTCAGGATTCACTTCCTCACTTACTCTGCCTGTTATATTTTCTTCCCTTTCAGGTTCTTGAGTCACTGAGGTTTCCAATTCAGGCTCTTGTCTCAATTGTGCTAATTCATTTTCCAGTTTGCTAACCTTCTTCAGAAGCTCCTTCCTGTTGATAAGTGCTGCTTGCAGCTTCCGTTTGACTTGCTCATTTTCTTTTTTCAGAAGCTCAAGTTTACCTCCTAACACCTCTCTCTCCTCACATGCTACCTGTGCCTGATACTGCTGCTCAGATTCCCCATATTTCAGATGTCCATCTTTTGCATCTCCTATGTTTTGGTCTTTTTCCTCCTTGGCTTTTAACAGACTCATTTGCTCTTTAAGATTCTTTAGCTCATTTCCTAACGAAAATTTCTCTTCATTCAGCAGGACCATTTTCTCAGACATGCGGTCACTGATCTCTGTCATCTGTCGGTCTTTCTCCAGCAAAGTTTGTTGCAGGCTCTCAATACATCTCTTGTTCTCGGCAACAAACTGTTCCAGGCTCGCTGCTTGGAGTCCCTTTGAAGCTAAGCTTTGGGAAAGCTCTTCTCTTTCAGCTGTGTTCTTCATCAAAAGCTCTTCCAGATCAAGTACTTCACATTCCTTCTTCTGGATCTGGCTTCTCAGCACTTTAAGTTGAATGTCCTGCTCAGAAAGCCGAAGTTGTGCTTCATCCAAGTCTTTTTGCAAAGCTTCAATTTTTATCTCTTTGGATTTAAATTCATTTTTAAGGCTCTGGATTTGTTCTCTCAGAAGACTGATCTGACTGTCTGATAGCCTCTGCTTTTCTGAAAGAGCTAGTTTTTTCTCCAGTTCCTTCACTTGATCCTTCAGTTCTGTGACGGTAGAAAGCGCCTGCCTCTGACACAGGAGCTGATCTTTTTCTTCAGCTAAAACACAAAACTCACTGTCAGAATCCTCTATCTTTTTTCTGTATTCTTCTGCCAACTGGTTTAGCCAATTTATTTTTGCAACTTTTTCTTCTAGATCTTTTTTATAGGTTTCTTGGGATTTCTGCAGAAGAGTTTGCAGTTCCACAATTTGGCTTTGCAGCCTTACTAGCTCCTCAGATTGAGAATTGCCAGGTTCTGAATCTGCTGCAGGGAATTCTTGCATCACCTCCATTTCTCCTCTGCAGGGAACAGTGCTCCCCTGAGGAACTTCTTGAAGATTGGTCCTGTTGTCCTGAAGTGCAGGAATTTGTAGCATTTCTTTTTCTGTCTCTAATGAGCTATTGCCCAACCCACCTTGCATATCTGAAGACTTTTCTTCTTCCCTCTCAAGAAACAAAGTCTGTGATCCATCTTCCAGCTGGTTAATTTCTTCTTTTGTTTGGAGAACTGCGGGAGTTTGGCTTTCTGGGCCCTTAAGCTGCTGTTTCAGAAATGCTATTTCTTCCTGGGCTTCATGCAGTTTCAGCAGCAAAACTGACAGCTCTTTATGTTTCTGTGCAGCAAGATGTTCCACAAATCCAGATGGACCATTTTCTTCATCAAATTGCTTGCTTCTAAATCCATCTATTGCCTAAAAGAAGATGAGAGGTTTCAATTTTCCTTTGCATCCTGACAAAGGATCATTTTTCATTGTCCTTGATGTATCTGCTTTCCATGTTTTGTGGTCTAAATTTACCCTTAACTTGACTCGCCTACTGCAATAGAGAGGAACTTTACTAACAGAGGAAGGACTCCCCGGTTTAGTTCATTGCAGGTTCTAAAGTTGTAGTTAGTTACAGCTGTTACAGTGCTACTGGTTGTTCTCTTATTTCCCATTCTTTCTTTATTACAGTACAGTATGTTTAAGTGTCTTTTTCCTGTGATACTCCCAAGCCTTCTACTGTACTTTTCCAGCCACATTTTCCTAGCTTCCTATCCATAGTCTCTGAAATAAAAAGTTTTTTTATGCTATTTTATGTGTTTAATTTAGAATGTAAAAGCCCACATTCCAGTCTGACTCTAAAGTGAGAAGACCAGACAAAATAGCTGAAGTGCTTGGCTTTTTCCAAGTGTCAGTCCTAAGGTTTTTCCCACATCCCAAATACACATGAAAAGACACCATGGATCAACAGCTTAACAGTAAGTCAGCTCTTTGTGTTGCAAAAGGTGTTGAAGAGCAGAACCAAATTATGATGAACTGTTAAAGAGCATATCTCAGTGCTGAAAGTCATTTTAAATTATGGGATGTTAATAGACTTATTTGGGCTTTCTAATGAAAGTTTCAATATTGCATACATCTGTGGATATAGCAAGAAAACAAATACTGGACCAAATTTGTACCTCAGGGAGCAAAGCGTCATCCATAGGCTTTGGCGCTTCAGAATTCACTGGCTCTCCCGACACACCTAGTGATAAAACGCACACTTGTCACTATCAACATAAACTATTCACACAAAGTCCATAAGCAAGAGAAAAGACAACATACAGGACTGGAGCTTCTCCAAAGGGGAAAATACACAAAATCAAGCGTTTGAGTTTACATATCGGGCCAAAGCATGCCTATATCTCTGTAAACACAGAAGTTTTCTCCATCTACTGCATGTTGGCCTCACCTAAGTCTATACTATATCAAACTCCCACAAAGGAGCAAAGAGATAAGAAAACTAAGATACTTATCCCTTTCAAAACAAGCAGAATTGAGCATATGCACCTTTAGTTCTACTTCTTCTGTAAGAAAATAATTTTTTTTTCCCCCTCTGAGAACTAACAACTAACTCTGTTGCACTGACAAAAGACTGATGCTCAAAACCCACAGGTGACACAAGATGAACTGGAGAAGCTATAACTGTCACGGAAAAAAAAAAAAACAAAAAACCCGCAAACATTTTCTACCTTTTAGAAAATTATAAAGAAATACAAAAAAATCAAGGTTGCATAGTTAAGCTCTTAAGTGTTAGGAAACACTAGAGTTTATAGTTAAATACTTAATCACAGCTTTTGCTCATTTGTAATAGGAATAGCATAAGCATTCAAGTAATTAAACAAGTGTTCATCTCTTCATGGAATGCAAGAAGACTGAGATCAGAGCAGTTAAATATGGCACTTATTTTCAAAAGGCTGACTTTGCAACCCAGCCAATTTGTCTTTTTTTTTTTTTTTTTTTTTCCTCCTCTTCTTCCTCCCTCCCGCTCCAGAGGCTTCAAATCTTACTTGCTTGCCAAGAGGAACAGAACAATTCTTCATGTTATTCTAATTTTCTTCTGTGTATTACACATCAGCCTCTGCACCTACAAACACTCTCTCCTTCAAATTTGTCTCCTCTTATCTCAGGAACTGCTTCTGATATATCCTTCACTACCACACATTAGAATATACTCTTCTATCTGATGAACATGTTTGCTACCTCCCATGTCTTTGGTTTCTGACCTCAATGCTTCCCTTTCCAAATTCACATATTCACCTCAGATACTTCTCTGAAGGTTCTCAAACTCCCCCAATTTCATGGTTAATATGCTTCATTCTGAGCCCTTACCTCTAGATGCAGAAAGGCAGTCTAGAGAAGAGGCTGAATATTCCGAAGTCTGGAAGTCTTGCAATTTCACCTCAGATCCAGCATTCTGAGTCTGCTGGTTGAAGAAAACACACTTAGCTTTAAGACGTGATCTTTGCATTAGAAGACAACTATTAGAAGACCTTGGTAAACTCCGAGTAAAAACTCGAACTCCCTACTTAAGGTCCTACTTTAACACCCAATGAAAATATAAAAAGTTAGGTTATTATATTAACAAAGAGATTAAGACAGATCTCAGATCAGTTTACTTGCAGGATATCAAGGAAGGCAATCATTCCAGTAACTTCCTTCTCACATGAAGATGTTTATTGTTCATCTCCACTGTTTCAAAGGGTCTAGCTACAGCTTCATAACCTCTCACTGAACTAGCCTACCTAGTGTGCATCATCACATGCTTCCCTGCTTCAGCAGCTGAAGAACCTGCAACTCCCTGTAGGCAAGCCAACTAAGGCTTCATAAAACAAAAACAGAAGAAAGAGAACATATGCACTAACTGTTATATATCTTCTACTACTATCAGACACAGAAGGGGAAAAAAATGTTGAATAAAACCTAGAAAATTGGTTTGCTGATGACATCTATGAAAGAAATAAGTCTTCATCTCCTAGATTTTTCATCCTAAAAAAATCCAAGTTAACATGTACTGTAAGGATCTGCAGAATCTAAGACCAGCTACCCAAAGGCACTGTCTTGTTACTAAAGCAAAAAACTACCATTACTACCACTTCTGCAAGAAAGGGTTTGAACTGAGTATAAAGGAAAAATGAGTCACAACTAAGAGTAAAGAATCTTTAAAGAAAGTTAACCCCAGGCCAAAAGTAAAAAAAAAAAAAAATCTGTCCAACAGTGGAGAGAATTAAAATAAGATTAAGTGAATAGAACTAATGTGTGCTGCCACTACATGGATAGAAGCACAGACCACAAGGTTAGGTTAGGTGGCAGGTCATCTAACCGCACAGAAACAGTCTCCAGCCCCAAGTTTTAGACTTCTTTTGCCTTAACAAGCTACAAGTGCTCATATAAGATTAATAGGATCCACTCAAATAAACCCTGTATTGGGTTGGTATTCATACATATCTTGACCTAAATAAATGCACAAGCAGCATTGCTTACTATTTACTTTTAAGAACTGCTTACTATTTACTTTTAAGCATTGCTTACTACTTACTAAGGTTAGATGCACAGGCAGCAATGCTTACTTGTCTAAATGTAAGTGTTCCCATACAGGTAATTTATTTGGATTTTTTTTTTTTTTTAATAATGAAGTGATATGCTTCTACGTTTGGATTCCTTAACCCATTTTAAACACCTACTTTGGTCAATAACACGCTAAAGCTCCTGTTCCTCTCCATTGCCTGTCTATATAGGGTCTATACAGGGGCTGTAGACAATAGCTCAGAGGCTTATACCTGTCCTTGAAAAGAGTTCGTACACGCACGCATGGCTGCGTGCATGCACATGTATTTAGCAGCTGATCCACAAGCTTACACTTCCACTGCAGGCAGCAGGAGTGTAACAAATTGAACTAATTCAAAACGTATTCTCCATCTTTACCACAAATCCCAGGCTTCAGCCTTTGCTATAATGACTTAGCATTAATAAAGACTTAAGAAAACTGTTTTGGGCACATTATTATGTATCATTCCCCACTCTCATTTTAAAATAAATGGCGAACCAAGGAATCAATAAGAGTAAGAACCAAACACTGCCTCATCCTCTTTCCTCTGCTGGCAGGCTGAAATAGAGAAGTCTGGGCAGAAGCTAGGCTTTGCCGTAAGCTAAAGAACAATTTTGCAACAAATTCTTAGTATAGATGCAGAGGCAATGGTTCTCAATCTCCCTGCCAGCTGAACAAGCAGCAAAGCAACAGGTGCCTAAATCTGCATTCGTAACATCTACACACTACACGGAAGTTGAACCCGCAGCTATTCATAGTTATGCAAGAGCCTATATTTGTCTCCTGCTTGATGAAGAGGACTCAGCTTCCTCCAAATAGTCTACACGTTTTCCCATGAGGGCAGTGGGCATGAGGAGCATTTGAAAGGCATCCTATAATGACTGCCAAGGCTTTGCGGTCATCTTTCCTGAGCCTTGCCTTAGAAATTGCTGAAGAAATAATTTACAAGAGAAATGAATAGGGTGAATGTGGGTAGAATGTTGGGTAGATGAAGGGCAAGAATTCCACATAAGCAACAAAGGAAAATAGTCTGCTAAGAACATACTACAAGCAGTATTTGCAGGCTATTTCTGTCTTTCACCATTAATCCAGTTAATAATAACCTTCCAAAGAGGATTGTTAAAAAAGTCCACAAGAGCTTAGCAGTTTTAAGGCTAGTCCTTGACCTGTTTTAGTTTTGGCTCATTTCAGCTGCTTAATTATTCATTACCTCTTTTGAGTTTTCTACAACAACCACAGTTTCCTGCTGAGGCTCCAGGAGAACAAGTTGCGAGCGCAGTATCTCTGAAACATTCAAAAATGCATAAATGTGAAAGGATTTCTTCAAAAATTAAAACATGGACTGAGAGAGAACTGAATTCTCTTCTAGGAACTTTAGAGAACAGAGTATACAGTTATCAGTAAATATACGTAGAGAAGAAAACACTGCCTTTGAATATGTTCATTCAGTCATTTTCTCCAAGAGTCAAAACACCAAAACAAAAAACAGCTGAAGCATCTTCATGACTAAACAATTGTTTTTACTCAGACTGAAGTTAAAGGACAACTGATAGATCTTCAGTTTTTAAGAAGCACAAAGTATGTCCTGCGCCACATCTAGACTTTGATGTCTGAAAGGAGTAATTTCAGTCAATTTGCTTCTTGATTACTATAGGAAATAGAATTCCATTTGTACTTGATACCAACAGATGTCACCTCAATCATGATCTATTTTTAAATGTGTACCTTTAGCAATACATTCTATTAGAGTTACTATCTGGGAAATGAGATACATTGCTTTTCCATTACCATGCTGACTAATCGCCAGTAAGTATCTTTCTTTAAAAAACTTGAAATCTGTGTGACAGACCCTGACTTTTATAAGCTTATGGCACAATTTAATCTCCTTGACATTTCCTTTAAGATTAATATGGCAGAATGCAAGAAATGCAAATATCTGGAAATTGTCAGGAATAAATTCTTGATATGGTACTAGATGCACCAAGGGTGACACTGCTGGATCAGCAGAATAAACTGGTTGGGTATGTGCAGCCTTGATTTCTGTGACCCTGAAAAATCCTATATGGAGCAAGGTAAAAGTGCCGAACAGCAGGAGAGAAAATTTCACCTTATTCAGGGAACTGCTAGGTGGAATCCCCTGGGAGACAAGCTCTAAAGAGCAGAAGAGCTGGAGAAAGCTGGCAGGTATGCAAGCAGAGCACACCCTAAGCACAAAAGTAAATCATCACTAAACTGAGGAAAACAAGCCACAGCAGGAGGTTTGTTTAGCTAAGCAGGGAACCCATCCCAGAGTTCTGATGAATAAAAAAAAAGAAAAAAAGGAAAAAGGTCTATGCAAGAAATTGGAAAAGGGACAGCCTACAAAGGAAAAAACAACAAAAAAGTCCCCCAAACCTAACACCACTGATAGACACTGTTAGAAAAGCCAGAACTCAGCTAGGGCTTACAAGGGATGTCAAGGGCAACAAGAAGAGTTTCTACCACTATGTTAGTAATAGAAGCCTGAGCAAGGAAAATGTGTGAGTGCCACTGAATGAAATGTGATTTTTGACAGAAGATGCAGAAAAGATTGAGGTTCAATACTTTATGTGACTCTGTACTTCCTAATGAGGTTTTCCAAGACTGCGCTTAGAGACAGTGTTTGACCTAGAGACTGACCACCAGCAGTGGATGAGGACTGAGTCAGGAATTACTTAACTAATAAAAAATCATGGGAACAGATGGGGTACCCTCCATTCAAGGGATTCAGAGAATGCTGTCCAATGTCCTCACAAGGCTGCTACCATATTTCATAGAATCCCAGAATGGTTGAGGTTGGAAAGGACCCCTGGAGATCATCTAGTCCAAGCCCCTGCTCCAGCAGGGACACCAGGGCATGGGGCACTTGGTCACATCCAGGCGGGTTTTGCAGACCTTCAGAGAAGACTCCACAGCCTCCCTGGGCAGCCTGTGCCAGGGCTCTGACACCCTCACACCAAAGTTTTTCCTCACGTGGACAGGGAACTGCCTGGGTTTTAATTTGTACCCATAACCCCTTGTCCTATCACTGGCCACCACTAATAAGTTTGGCACCATCCTCTTTACACGTAAAGAAAAAAAAAAATCATGAGTACAGTCAAGCATCAGAACAAGCTACCCATGGAGGCTGTAGAGTCAGTCCTGGGGGTTTTCAGTACTAGACTAGATTAACATGGTCTGATCTCACAACTGATCCTGCTTTGAGCAGGTTGAACTAGAGACCTAAATTATTCTGCAATTCTGTTCAATTAATTTCTTTTCAATTCTAAAGTTGTTACCTCAACAGTTTGGTATAAGAGCCAGTAAAACAACTTACACAATATTTTTTTCTTTCCCATCAGCATCAACTTAGACTCATTAAAAAAGCCCCATTTTTGTAAATATATAGCTATCAGTGTATATTAATACATATACAAAACTCAAATTCAGGGCCAAGTTAAGCACTTCTGTTAGGGGCATGGCTCTTTATACTTTCCAACTCTAAACACTGGACAGATTTTACACAGCATTAACATACTAAACACGGTTTTCTATTGTCCCCCCTTTACATATTTTTTCTATACAGATTTTTCTCTGCAAAACTATATTTGCCAAGTTGAAAAGCAGTGTGTAATCTTGAGGATGTTCATATGAATAGTATTTGTGAATTGTAACATCTGGGAAACACTCTGCCTTCTATGATAATGGTTTTCTGGTACTGATTCATATCCTACTGTGTTTTTGCAGCAAGTTTTTGTTCTATTATGTGAACCACAGAAAGTTTAGACAGACTGTTAGTTATCAGTAACTTGTGGGGTGCAGCATCTCTAGTTGTCAATCCTTTCTTTCCTTAAAATCAAAAACTGCTGGAACTCATATTTCTATACTACTCACCATTCTGTCAACATTAGTACTTCTAAGGGTCTACATTCCTAAACATGCAAAACCAAAAGAAGGCACAAGTGTACACTGTCTTGAAATATAGTATTTATCCTTACGAGCCTGAGGCATAATTTTATTAACAGAATTAAACCAAAAAAATGTAAACACCCTGTTTATCAAAAAAGGTCAATCAATCACATAATATTACCATGCCCGCCTTTGTCTTATTTATTTTCCTGACTCCTCCATATTCTTTGCCCCCATTGTCATAGGTCTATAAGAGCAGAAATACAAAACACGTACGCTGAGTAGCCAATGACAAACACTACCCACCAATTCCGAATCCCAAAACACCAACCATTGCTTAACATCCCAAGCTAACACTATGCAGGTAAACTTCTGATGCACAACCCAGACTTTTGAATAATTCCTTTTTCCTTTAAATTCTCCTTTTAACTACCAGAAAGAATTAGAGAATATATTTGAAATTCCTGACAAGGAATGTGCAATGATCCAGTAACTATGGATATATTTACTACCTAAAAATAGAAAAGAAGGATAGCTATACTACCTTCAGATTTTTGACTTTCCAAGGTTTCTGTGGGTAGAAGTGAAGTCCCAACCTCCTCTTTCTGATCTATCATTTTATCCTGTAAGTTGGTTTCATCCTGTTTAAAAATAGAATGGCAAGTAGGAAGATAATTTGACATACTTATTTACATAAAAAATAGTCTTTTAAACAAATCAATTGGAAACTTCTAAATTACTCAATTTGACTCCTATTTCTTCTTAGGCTTCCAGTGTTACAGCATATCTGCCCAAGATTCAAAATACACTGAGAGAATCTGAAATAGCTTTTCTCAACCAGTTCAAAGAAAGGATTTCAAGACATTTCATTTCTTTTCAGCTCCTCCCTCAACATATCAAAAAGTTTTAGGAAATTCTGATACCATACCTGTTTCTTCAACTCAGGGACCTGCACCGCTGGCTGGGCTTTTAGCTCCTTCTGACAGCAGACAAATTCCTCAGATTTTTGCATCAATTCATCTAGAAGAGAAGAGAGAGTTAAAAATATGTTCTTACCTTTTCCACTGAAATGTACCAGCTCAAATATATATGCATACTAGCATATGAAAACCTTTATCTCAGTCTTCATTTCAATTTTGGGTCCTTTAAGTATCTAGAAGAATATCTATATGAAATAGCAGCTTTAGGCAAGGACAATGTTATTAGTTCTAACTCAGTATAAATTTACAGAGAAAACAGTATAAACAGCTTGCCTCCCTTGGTTCTAAAGCTTCAGTAGAAGAGTCATTCAAAAAATTAAGAATTAACATCTTCACCTTTGGGAGTTTGTAGATAACGCCTCTCTGCGTTTACAGTTCTAACATCTCATTTTTCCAACCGGGAAACAACTTTTGAGAGCTGTATACCAAATTACACAAGAATAAGACCACTGGAAAAAATGCAGCTATTGCAGTGTTACTAGCACATGGAAGCCATTACAAGAAGAGAGATTGGTAGATTGAATATGCCTTTTTTTTTTTTTTTTTTTTTTTTTTTTTAATAGTAGAAGAGATGTTAAAGTTTCATGTTAAGTATGATTACTACACATTGTCTCTTGCTATAAAATAAGCCTGCAGGAAAAAGCCTCAAATCAAAAGCTGTTAAGTAGTTAAGATTCAGATCCTCTTGCCACAAAATACAACACAACTGAAAAAGCTTATGTAAGCCCATAGAAGAAGGAAAAGAAACAGGCAAAAAAAGATATTATAATTCATTTTAAATTCACTTACTCATTTTCATAATTCATATTAAAATTCATTTTAAAATTCATACAGATGGCTCAGGAAATCCACAAGCCCCCTAGCTAATAAACTGGGTCAATACACAAGGAAAACAGATCTGTTGCCAGACCCATAGGATCTTTTTCCTGGCTTTAGCCATAGTCAGATAGAAGGGTACAATAGCACCAGAGAGGGCTTTAGCATGATGCAGTACATGAGACCAGGAACAAAAACAAAAGAACACTCTTACCGTTGCTACATGATTAGGAAGTGTTATAGCAAAAGTTTTTTTTTTTTTTTTTTTTTTTTTTTTTTTAATATAAAAAAAAAGCCAAGCAGAAACCAACCCAGTGATCCTTTGGCTACAGTTACACCCCAGTAAATCTGACCTGTTACAACGCCTGTGCTTACTCACCTTGCAATTTCTGTATTGTAGCACAGTTCTCAGCAGACAGCACCAGCAACCGGTCAACATCTTGTTTCAGCTGATCATTTTCAGCCACAAGTGCAGCACGGCTGGACTGCAGCTCCTGCTCAGCCACCTGAAGACAAGTGATCTGCACGTTTCTCTCTTCTATTTCCAGTCTCTGTTTCTGCTCTAGATCTCTGTATTTCACTTCTAATTCAGCATGCACTCTTCTCGCCTGTTCCAGTTCTCCTGAGAGCTCCTGTACCTCATCCTGCAAGCGATGGGAGGTCAATTTCCTCTCAGCTAGTTCCAACTCCATCTTCTCCTTGAGGTTCTGAAATTCTTGTCGCTCTGCATTTAGCATGTCCTTCACGGAGTTTAGCTCCACTTCCATCTTCTGGCACTGTTCTAGGAATGCCTGTAGAAGGATACAGAAATGAGCTTGTCTCATTGAGCACTAACAGCACTAAGCAGTATGTATGAATCGTATCTTAAAATTGTCTTTTCAAGTATCTGAGTAGTAGAAAGGAGGAGATAAATGTGGCAAAAATCCCAATTAATGAGAAATTGTTCTGTTATTTGCAATTTGAAAGGAACAATGTTGGGAGAAACAAGAATTGTCATTGTGATTAAGGAAAAGAGAAATCTTAGTTTAGAGCACAGAACAGAAGGAAGGAAAAGAGAACAGTAGCCATGAGTTCTTGTGAAACCCAAAAGGAAAGGAACAATAACCAGAGGTGCAAGACAACCAGGGAACAAAAACAGACCCTGCAGTTGTCAGAATTCCCCTTATCAAGCTTCCTTCTCCTGAAGCTGTGGATAGCCAGCCTGGCTGGGATCAGGAGAGGTTGAGGAGGATTTGCTCCCATTACTCTGTGAAGGAGGCCGTAAATAAGAGCGAGCAGACAGAATCTCTTTGAGAGAGACTGGAGCTACAGCAGAGGATTCAACCCCATGGACTCAGTGTTTTTTTGTTCTAAGTTCTGACCACTGAACAAGCATAAGGGAAATCAAGAGCACAGGGGAATCGAAAGAGCCATGAGGATACTCATGCTCCCACTCCATTTAACACTGAGCAGAAGTTGACTCACTGGGGTTCCTCACTTCTTCCCGATAGTGAAAGATCCCACCACTGTGTTTGGCTGGGACACAAAAATAAATGCATAACAGTGCAAGAAAGCTTCCAAAGGGAAGTTCAGCACTGGACTGGGTGAATATTGTGTAGTCTACTAACATGGTATCTGGAGAAACTGGGGAGACTTGCAGGAGAGATGCTCAGGGGGAGTTCTGTGAGTCCAGATGGGATATATTTTCTCCCAGTACTTGTTTGAGGCAAGACAGGATTCATTAGTATTGCTGGAAAAAAAGAATCAAGTAACATGAAACTCAGACCTAACCCAGCATGGACCCTCTTACAGGGAGCAGCTCACTTGGGGCCCACACTGTAACCTAGTCTTACTCTGTCACTAGGGTCAGGAAGACAGCTATCAAAAATAAGCTCCAAATTTTGACCACAAAAAGCTATTAAAAAAGAATTCATAACTCTCCAAAAAAATATACAGGAAAAGAACAAAATTCAGCTTTGGCCTCCTGAAAATTAAACACTGTCCACTAAATGACATTTTCTGAAAGTTTTATAATAATGACCATAATGAAATACTATCATATTATCAAGAGTCCACAAAAAATATATGCTTCTCTGTTCCCTGTGTTGAAACTCTTAAAAAAAAAAAAGTAAAACTGGTTCATTTCATAGATATGAAAGTAGTTTGCAGGAGTTTGGCCAGAAATCAGTTTCTTTCTGTACATCTCCAATTCTTTAAGATAGGAAATGAATGTGACTTCATTCATTATAAGTACTGTCAAGTCTTTCAAAGCCTGACAAACAAACCTGGACATGGATCTATTATGTTCTGAAAGAAAAAGCACATTAAAAAAAAAAAAAGAAAAAGAAAAAACACAAGGTGTTAGTATTAAGAACTACCACTTTTCTAGGAAAAATAATCTTGATGTTCATATCCTGAACTGTCCATGAGATTGTTAAGCATATGAGTCTTTTTGAAATAAAGGGGGATTTTTTTTTCAGAAGTTGTGAAATAGGAAAAAAAAGACGTATTCATCCCATATCTGCAAACAAACCTGTTAGATACTGTGTACTAAACCACTTCTACTTCTACCGTTCTACAACAACACTAGCTATGTTCCTGTTACTGAAGTCTTTTCTGTGTAGTAGTAGTAGCCCTCTCCCCCGCCCCTTACTTCCTTCTCTACATCTGGTCTAGCAAGACTTTTTAGATTATACTGTTAAAATTTTGATTATACGAATTCTTGGCTTTACATATGAAGTGGGTACATAACAAGATTCTTGGTCCTTAACAAGATTTGGAGTATAACAGCTATAGGGACACATTAGTGGTTGGAGAAAGTAGACTCTGGGTGGTCATTATGAAACAATGGAAAGAATCAAGTTTAATATTTTAGGCTTTGGTTTGTTTATATTTTTTAAAACATGTACCTTCTCTTCTTTGAATCAGAGTATTATCTTACATTTGAGACAAAGTCCCATGAATCATCAGATTCCCCATACTGGTTAAATTACCCTCTATTAAAGAATTAACAGTTTTCATCTCTTAAGTTGAGGGCATCCCTACTTTGCTTCTGGGCAACTGACAAGGTCACCTCCTACCAGTAAAGATAGACAACAGTAAGGCAATAAGCAAAACAAGAAAATATACCTGCTTTTGTTGTTCAGCATCATGTAATTCCTGCTGCAGCTGTTGTACCACTTGAGTCCTTCCTAGCAAGGCTGCTTCTTGTTCCTCTACCTTCCTCTGAAGGCTACTGAGGTTCTGTGAGACACAGTGTGATATCAGTACCCAAAAGGCTAATCTAAGAGGCCTAGTTTTCCTATTTTCATCCATGTACCTACTTTTCATAAGCCATTTACTTTAACAGTCTAAATAATTTTTGTTGATATTTGTTCTGGAGTCACTGTAAATTAAGAAAAACTCACCAATGTCTCACAAAAAGGAAGCACTAAACTAACTTTTAATCATCTCAAAGTTTATAGAAGGTCAGCAGATCCAAGTTAGGATTCTGAAAGTTTAAAGTAGCATGTGGGAAGAAAGAAAAAATAAAAAAAATCAAAACACCTCTCCTCATTCTTTTTGAGATACTTTTCTGAAAACTAATCTCTCAGAGTGTCTTCAGAAAAGTAAATTTGCACTTCTTCCACATAAAGATGTGGAATAAAGATTATATTCCAAACCTACCTGCTGCATCTCCACTTCCACATCTGACTGGACCACAGTCCTGAGCAATTCAGTTTGGTGGTTAACCTGCTCCTCTAGGAGAGCTTCTTTCTCTTGAATCACCTCCTGCAGGGAGCTGACCTGAAATCATAAGCCAGAAAATAGAAGAACTGATAATATCACGAGCTTGGCCTACAGAAAGGCATGCTTTCAATATGCAACAGCACACCAGGCAGTCTTCAGCATGGTAGCCCTCCATGTTACCTAGGTCAAAATTATATTTTTGTTCTACTAATATCTACATACTAACTGATAATATTTCAGACCAAAAAGCAAAAGGTTTAGAAAATTCATTTACAAATATAATTATTATATAATCACAAATATAAAAACTTTTGGTTTTATAGTTGTGTAGCATATTACTCAAAAAAAAAAACCCCAACATTTAAAATTGACTTCTATAACATTAACAAAAATCATTCCATAATAATTCCAATGTAATATAACACAGCAGTATGTCTTGCAGAATACTGTCTGTCTTGAATTTTGTCAGCAGAGCTAAGTGGTGGTACAAAAATGCACATACACAGGCGATGACTGAAAAAATTCTTCTTCCATACCTGTGTAGCATATTTGTTTTCAACATCTTCCAGATTCACTTTAGCTAAAGCCAGCTGTTCCTTCAGTTCCTTAACAGTCTCCTCCTGCTCTCTGAGCTGTTTTTTCAGTGTTGCAGCTTCCTCCACAAGCCCTTCATCTGTATTTTCGTTGTTCCGACACTGCAGAAGGAAAGAACGGGAGGATGTAACACTAAAGTTAACTGATCAGTATTACCTGCTATTTGGGTAGCAGAAAGGTGGAGGGGAGAGGGAGGCATGACCCCATACTATGCTCTTAACTCCTCATATACTTATTTCTAACAAATAAAGTTAAATTAAAAGTTAATTTTCAATTAACTTTAATTTTCACAGAATCACAAAATGGTTGAGGTTGGAAGGGACTTCTAGAGATCATCCAGTCCAACTCCCTGCTCCAGCAGGGACACCAGAGCACAGGGCACCCGGGCACATCCCGACGGGTTTTGGAGACCTCCAGAGGAAGAGACTCCACAGCCTCCCTGCGCAGCCTGTGCCAGGGCTCTGGTACCCTCACACCAAAGTTCTTCCTCATAGAGGAATGAAACCTTCTGTGTTTTAACTTGTACCCATTACCCCTTGTCCACTGGCCACCACTGAGAAGAGCTTGACCCCCTCCTCCCTACGCTCCCCCTTCAGGTATTTGTACGTATTGATCAGATCTCTCAGTCTTCTCCAAGCTAAACAGGCTCAACTCACTCGGTCTGTCCTCATAAGAGAGATGTTCCAGTCCCTTAATCATCTTTATCGCTCTCTGCTGGACCCTCTCTAGAAGCTCCACATCCCTCTTGTTCTGAGGAGCCCAGAACTGCACCCAGTGCTCCAGGGGCAGCCTCACCAGAGCTGAGCTGAGGGACAGGATCCTCTCCCTTGACCTGCTGGCAACGTCCTCCTGATGCAGCCAGGAGCCCATTGGCCTCCTTAGCCATGAGGGCACTGATGGCTCATGGTTAACTTGTCAACCAGGGCTCCCAGGTCCCTCTCTGCAGAGCTGCTCTCCAGCAGGTCAACCCCAATCTGTATGATGCCTGGGGTTATTCCTCCCCAGGTGCAGGACCCTGCACTTGTCCTTGTTGAACGTCATGAGGTTCCTCTCTGCCCAACTCTCCAGCCTGCCTAGGTCCCTCTGGATGGCAGCACAAATTTTGTTTCTTAAAAATGAAGCTAGCCTAACCTAATTTCCTAATTTCCCTATTTCTGTCTAGGTGTGTGCAAGATGACCGCACTAAATATGCAAGTGATTCACCAACATTTATTCAAGTCACTTTGGAATGGCTAATTACCCATGATTGTTCACTTTATCACATAACTCAAGCTAAATCACATTGCTAAGGCAAATATAATAACATTATCAAAAATATGACTGACGATTTGTGAGACTTAATTTCACTAATTTCTCTAATATTGGAAATAAAATATTTGTTAGTTACTAGCAGAAGAATATTCACCAAGGGACAGTTAGCAAAATGAGATTGATATTAAACATTCTAAACTACAAAAATGCCTATGGAAAATAACTGTTTAGAATACAGGGATTTACAGCAATGAATCTGATAGAAAAAGGAAACATGTCAAGTAATCATCAGTTCTACTCCAAGGTACTAAAATTCTCTGCTTAAATTCAGACCACCTTTCCTCATAAAGTATGTTTGCAGATTTCCAAACATCTACTTGGGCATACGTGCAGCCTCTTTATATCTCGTATAAAGGTATACATAAGGCAGGCAATTCTTTAATACCACACTTTTACACAACATACTGTCGTATATCAAGTCCAGCAAACCATCGTGGTCACTGAGAAGTATGAAAGAGTCTTCCATTGCTACTGTGTCAGCACTCCCAAATTCCTCTAGCCATTAGTGCAGAGGACTTTTGACTAAATTTATATAAAATGCATCTCTTTCCTATTCCTTGCAAGAGGTATTGCGTGAGTATCACTAATGACATATGAAAGCTAGAGAGTGCTGAAGTACTTTAAAACCACTCTGAAAATTTATAAGGGCATCTATAAGGATATGTTAGTGTAATATGATGAATAAGAAGCTACTCTTCTTCAAAGATGTCACCTACAGAAAAGGGCTTTAGAAGTTGGTAGAGTAAACAGACAAAGAAATAATTGCACTTAAATTCAGAGGTAGCACAGGGCAGGGCGAAGAGCAGGGATCAAAAGAAATCCAAGGAAGCTTTCCAGAAGCAAGGCATACAAATGATTTCTAAGGCTGAGGCAAAGCAGGTGCTGGGTGGGAAAGGAGGGTGGATTAGTGTGTTTACTTCAGATTAGTTTTCAGGATTTATATTTACAGTAGGATTTGGAAAAGCCTGTGATCAAGATCAAGTCCTTGCACCCTTGGCAATATAAGAAGTACCCCAATTAAAGACAGGAGCACAGCCTCAGACTTCCTAGAGCTCAAGCTTTCAAATGCCATGTTTTCCCATGAGCTATAAGCTATCATATCTTACATGTAATTTGCATTTACCCACAATTAAGAGAATCTTAATTGTTCTGCATATGAATGTCTATTAGTTAATCACAAGATTAGGCTAATATATCGATTCCCTTGAAAATGAGGCACTCTTAAGGTCCAAAAGTAATAATGTCAGATTCTCAAAATACAGCCTTCCTATGTAGGAAGTGAAAAACAGAAAGAAAAATCAGAGAGAAGAAAAGCCTCTTTGCTCTTTTTATTCCTCTTGATTATCAAAAGGAACAAGTAATAGCCAATACCTCAGCACAACATCTAACCATAATTTAAAACATTTTTTTCTTCAAATTAAAGGATATTTGTCTAGGAAATACAAATATCACCATTACTACAGGCAATATCACAGAATCACAGAATATTCAAGGTTGTAAGGGACCTCTGGAGATCATCTAGTCCAACCTTCCCGCTCCAGTAGGCACACCTAGAACATGTGGCACAGGGTGGCATCCAGGCGGGTTTTGAAGACCTCCAGAGTAGGAGACTCCCCAGCCTCCCTGGGCAGCCTGGGCCAGGGCTCTGTCACCCTCACAGTGAAGAAGTTCCTCCTCACCTGCAGACGGAACCTCCTGTGTTTCAACTTATGGCCATTACCCCTCGTCCTGTCGCTGGCCACCACTGAAAACAGCCTGTCCCCTTCCTCCCTGCATTCTCCTTTCCTGAACTTATACACATTAATCATATCCCCTCTGAGCCTTCTCTTCTCCAGAGAAAACAGGCCCAGCTCACTCAGCCTCTCCTCATACGAGAGATGTTCCATTCCCTTAATCATCCTGGTTGCCCTTCTCTGGACCCTCTCGAGAAGCTCCACTTCCTTCCTATAGTGGGGTGCCCAGAACTGCACACAGTACTCCAGCTGCGGCCTCACCAGAGCTGAGTAGAGGGGCAGAATCACCTCCCTTGACCTGCTGGCAACACTCCTCCTGATGCAGCCAGGATCCCATTGGCCTTCTTGGCCACGAGGGCACACTGCTCACTCATGGTTAACTTGGTGTCAACCAGGACTCCCAGGTCCCTCTCCGTGGAGCTGCTCTCCAGCAGGTCGACCCCTAATCTGTATGATGCCTGGGGTTATTCCTCCCCAGGTGCAGGACCCTGCACTTGTCCTTATTGAACCTCATGAGGTTCCTCTCTGCCCAACTCTCCAGCCTGTCCAGGTCCCTCTGGATGGCAGCGCAGCCCTCCGGAGTGTCGGCCACTCCACCCAGCTTGGTGTCATCTGCAAACTTGCTCAGGGTGCATTCCGTGCCCTCGTCCAGGTCATTGATAAACAAGTTGAACAGCGCTGGGCCCAGCACTGACCCCTGGGGGACACCACTGGCCACAGGCCTCCAACTGGACTCGGCCCCATTTATSACCACCCTCTGAGCTCTGCCATCCAGCCAGCCCTCGATCCACCGCACCGTGTACTCGTCTAGTCCACTCTCCCGAGCTTCCGTATGAGGATATTATGGGAGACGGTGTCAAAAGCCTTGCTGAAGTCAAGGTAGACAACATCCACGGCTCTCCCCTCGTCCAGCCAGCCTGTCACCCCATCATAGAAGGCTATGAGGTTCGTCAGACATGACTTCCCCTTGGTGAATCCATGCTGACTGCTCCTCAACCCAATATCTACTTGGGGAAATAAATAAAAACTAACAAAGGAATACACAGCTCCCCAGCAAGTTCAACTATACAAGTTTATATCTAACTGCTTTGCAGGTCAAATACAATGTGTAATATTGCAAGTAATCATACTCCGGTCCACAGCATTTTCACTGGAGCCTGTACCAAGACCTCATTCCTCCGTTTATAAACTTTTTCTAAATAATTTTCCTTCATAAAAAAAACTTAGAACTATTTTTTCACCCGTTATTCTGCCCTTTCACTTCAACAATTTTTCTACAGCCTTGATGTATAGTTACATATACATAGTATACTTATATAGAGATATAGTTACAGAAGAAAATTATATTTCCTCTCAGCCTATGTTGGCTAAGCAGCCAAGCTATTCCGAGTGCCTAGTAAAAGCAGTTAAGAGGACTGGGGAATAGAAGTTATTTTGCTGCTCAACATTCATCTTTCCCGACTCCAAGCAAATAGAACATGACAACAATCCATGCGGAGCCTTGCCACTCTTGGTACAATAGCTGGAAGACAACTGTTCACCTTGCATAAAAGGTAGGTCTTTTTTAAATGTACAGTGCACTGATGCAGGGATCAACTAGTATAGCAAGATCATATTTTAGGTTTTTTTTTTTTTTAAATGATGAATTTGAATTTTAAAGTAAGAATAGTCATTAGTACATAAAAGAAAGCCTACACAAAGTAACATAACAGACCTGTACATGCTACATATAAGCTACACAAACCTTCAGCAACAGGACAGTAATGTTGAGTGACAGAGCTACACAACCTCCAGAGCCTTCACTGTCCTCTGCAGACAAACCATCTTGAATATTTTTTCCCAGATATGCATAATACACAGTATACAATAGCATACAAGTGGCTGACCTTGCACTTAGTAAGTTTCATCCCATATTTATAATGAGCCAGTCTTTGAGATCATGCAATTCTTGTATAGAAAACAAGTCTCCTTTGAACTGAAAACTATTTCCAAGATTATTGTAATTCAGTTTATAATAGCAAGTTTCCATGATTGTGACATCAATCAATATTAGGAGTTCTAAGAATAATCTCTACTCTACTAGTAGTACATCTCATCTATACTTCACCCCTAAACATTCACTCTTTTAATATTTCCTATAATCTTTTAATCTTTTTTTTTTAATGCTTCTAACATACCTCATCTTTTTTTTTGTTTAGTAAACACAGTAAACACCATTCAATGTCCTGAGATTTTTTTTTTTTTTTAAATGAGAGTTTTATCACTTGATCTGTCTGGACTTCTGTCACTTTTACCTGCCTCATTTAATATATAGCCTAACATCATTCATCTTAATAGAGCCTAACATCTTTCCCATAGCTCCGTTCTCCCAACCTTGGGACAGATCTGCTCTTCTGACAAGGTCTGCACAGGCAACGATGATCCTTTCTCTGTCAGCTCCTCAATGCGTTTGTTCAGAGATGCCAGTTTGGCTTTGGCCTGAAGCTTCAGCTTCATCAGTTTAGCATCTGCAGCCTCCCGCTCTTCCTGCAAAAGGAGACACATGTACTTAACATTACAGTGCTATCCATCTCCCTGAAAACACTATTAGAAGTTAAAAACTTTGTGAAACAGTCCACTCATTTTTGTTCAAACCTGTCCCTCCTTTAAGAGGGACAAGTAAAAAGTCCAGGAAACAAGCTTGCTGTGAACCACCCACTACATGCAGCAAAACAGGCAGCTTCTTTTGCTCCGGTTGTTTCTCTTTAGAAGAGAAACAGTGAATTTGAGAGGACAGCTCAAGCCAGATTCCTTTCCTACTAGTCAGTACAAACTAAACTTGAATTCCTCTACTTTGCAGACCCTCACCACTATCTCAGAAGGCATATGCATCCTCAGTTAACTGCACAGTCTCTCACCTCATGCCCCAGGGTATGTAATGCATGTCTTTGATCAGCACTGGACTGCTGGGTGACTGCAGTACAGCCCCACTTATCTCAGACACTCTGAATCAGAGAAAAAGAAGAACCTACAGAAGATGCTAGTATGCCTTATCGCTGGTTGACTCTGTGTGGGCCTACAGGAGCTCAGACAAAAATGCTGCATAATATGGAGGTAATAGTACTGGAACTACCCATAATCAGAGTGGACAAAAACCATCCTACATCTCTTGGCTTTGGGTCTCAATCATTCTCTGGAACCCATGCATTTGGTAGCGTAGCTGTCTATAAAGCTCAAAGGAAACAACACACTGGAGTCCATGGAAAGCTGTACAACCATCTCACTCCATCAGAGGTCCAGGAACAACAAAAGTTACCTTGAGTACAGTTTCTTTTTGCTGGAGCAGAGAATCCTTTTCTCGTACCAAATCCTTCAGCTGGACAACTAGTTTTTCTGTTTGAGCTAGGCGCTCTAGCATGTCCTCAGGTGTCTCCTCCATGATTTCTGTTCCTGGTTCTAAAACTTGTACCTCAAATAGTGAAATGAGTAATGAGTGCTCTGGAGGAAAAAATATAAACAGACCGTGGCATAGCATTCATGTGGTATACTCAGCTCCACTTTCAAGGGCTGTGCTCTTGTCCCTTGTAAACATTTTATCTGCCCTACAGAACGACTACCATTTGGGTGGAATCAGGAGGTAAGTTCAGGATGCTCTTGAAAAAAATACAGAAAAAAGTACTTTTGCTGTAACATAATGTCAGTAAATTTAAAGTGAATGGCGTAACGGATATTCTACTGCTTATAGGCTATCCACTGCCTTAAGCATGAAAGAGTGACAAGCAGTCCCAGATTCAGCACGTTCCCCAATTGCTCACAGCTTCCCTTTAAAATAAATGGAATCACTAGTTATTTCCTCACTATAACTCTGATTTCCTTTCGCAAATCACCTTGAGATGTGGAAACTAAACAGACTATAGTCTGTCCTGCAGAAGTGCTGACTTACAAATGAGATCAGGTGCAGGAAACAATAGTTCAGCCCAGTTCTCAGCCATGAAGAAACAGAAAACAATTCCCGTTGCAGTCAAATGACTTCCATAACACAAACAAATCTCAGTATAATCTGAATGTCTTTCCAAAAGATACTTACTGTGGTAGAGGATTCAATAACTGCATCTGCTCCATCACCTGATAGCTCTTGTAAAACAGTATTTGCTAAACCTGATAAACGGCTCAGCATCTTGAGCCTGAAACAAAACAAAAAGAATCACAATACAGTTAGAATCAGAACTTCTACAAAAAGGAAGTTACTCTTCACACTGACTCCTAATGTTTTGGAGGAGAACAAGCTTAAAGGGAAAAATCTCCTCTGTTGACAAAGAAAAATCTCAAGAATAAATAAATGATCATCTAAGAACAGACTCTTCGAATACATAAGTGGAGGATATATTTCTAAGAAACAAGATACATAATACATTAGCAAAGGTATGATTGCAAACAGATGTTTATACTAGATTTCAAGTTACCCTCATAGTTGACTTGCAATATCCTTAACAATGATATTGCAGAGCTGCAGTCTGTAAAGTCTATTGAAAAAAAATATACACTCCAACATGGCCTGTAAATGGTCTAAAAACATATACACTCCAACATGGCCTAAAGAGAAGTTTTCAGGTAACAAGCAGTAGAAGTAGTGGACTCAGTTGAATCTCTCCTAAACACAAACATTTATTAGGAGATCCCTGCATTCTACATACGTAACAAGACTGGATCTCTGCACTGGGGTGTAGTCTGGAGATGGCAAATGCTCCCTATCTGCTCAGCAGACCTGTCACTCTTTAGCGGAGCAACTTTTCCTTTCCTTGAAGCTCAGAAGGCAAACTGACCTAGGCAGCTGAAGGACAAGGAAAAAGCAGCAGTGCTATCCCAGATAGTATTGACCCCATTTTGGGAAGACTAGCAGACTAAATTCTTCATCAGCCACCTGGAAAATGGGATGCTTCTACAAACATAAAAGCAGCTCCAGCAGTACAGACTGAAACTATACTAACTCACACTAGATACAAGCTCAAGTTTAACTCAAAACAATTAATCGGCAGCTTAATGTATTTAGGAACACCTCCATCAAATGAAATCTTTTAATATGGACAGATTGTCTCTGTTTAGGGAAGGAGGCTTATAAAACTGGCTACAACAATCAGTTCATTCCTGACTTCCTTTCTCTTAGTTAGCAAATCTTTCCTCTGACACCTTCAGTTCAAGTGTATAAATATTAACAATAGAGAGAACAATAATTAATGGTGTAACAGCCCCACCTTTCAACCACCCAATTTTACAGAAGCAGAAAATATCACAGTGTAAAGTGTTATTGTGTATACACACGGGGGGAAAAAAGAGGAAGAGGGAGACAATTTATCCAACTAGAAAGGAAGAATCAAACTATTCTCCATTCTATACAATACTCTCTGGGACTGTTACAACCACAATTATTTGCATTAAATACCCACACACAAGATTTCTCTGGTAGGGGCATGCCCTGATTTGTCACAATATATGCAGAAACCCTTGGTCTCCGCAGCTTGCAGAATAAAACACCTGAGAAGCGTTCAGTGAAGTGAGGAAACGTGAGGCAAGACGCCAGGCCTCCAACAGCTTCCCCCACAAACGACCCTAGAGGGTGAAGCTATGGGAGAAGGACACTCACCAAGCTGGGATGGTACATGTCCTACATCAATGTAATGAACAGTGAAGAGCTATTAGTACTTGTCTGTCTGCTCACCTGGATCACACCGAGGCAACAAACTCTGAAGTAACAGAGGGTTTACAATTACTAGAAAAATATCTTCCTCCATATTAACTATTCATCAAGTTGGTGATATTGAAAGACTGATTTTCAAGACTAGGAGTCACTATTTAATTGAAAGACTAATAGTGATTACAGTTTTATAAACCAAGAATGTTCCAGTGAAAAGCTCTACTTCACAGTGCTCCCAATGCTCTAGCAACAACCAGGCCCTGCTGCCCTGGCAGTGGCAAAACCACATTTTAGAAACCAACTAATCAAAAAACAAAAACATTTCTTTCTGCCCATGACCAAGACTTGAACAGGATGTGTCTGATCTTCCAATAATGTATTAGCCCTTAGCTTCTCAAAGGTACAAACAGGTACGAACAAGACATGGTTGAGAGATGACGTGAAACAAAACAATAACGTGACGTAATGAAATAACATACTAGCAGCCTCTGTCTGCCTGGACCTATTTCCACAGATAATGGACTTTAATAACTCAGACCTCGGTCTTTTACAGTCTGTTAAAGTGAGTCAAAAAAGAAGTCTTTTTGTGCAAGACTAATTTTCACAATGATGTCCTTAAACACTATATAAAATAATAAGCTTAGAGAACCCAATTAAGATTAAGGCGTTGTAGCCCTGTACAAACTGACAGGAAAGAGAGAACCCTTGCAACAAAATTTCACAGTTTGAGAAAGATATGATAGAAGGACAAAACACTACTCCATTTTGTAAAATTCCATTTTTCAAACAAATAAATACATATTAAAAAGTCTAGCAATCTGTCCAAAAACACAAATCAAGTCTTTGGGCTGACACGAAATAGCAGGGAAAAACAAAACAAAACAGGAAATTGATTGGAAACTGGTGCCAAATGCATAAATGGCATGCCACTTTACCATCTGACCTGCAACAAGATCACTCATCTAAGGGTGAATCCAGATGAAACAAGAAATTTGTTTGGTCGAAGCACCAAAATAGTTTGGAGATGCCTTTTTCCAGTGATCTGGAGGCACCGCATATTTTTATCCCTCCATTAGCAATGGAACCACAGAAATTACATAATCCAGCATAAAGATCCAATTTACAAATCGCACTGCAGCTTCATGACTGTAATACTGAACCCTAGGAGCAGAGATAACACTGCTCTAAATATCATTACAAAGCTGGCAGTCAGGGCACAAGGTGGTAGCTGTCTTCACCAGCCTCACGGGCTCAGGACTGGATTACCAGAAAACTTGCATTTTGCTTTTACTTCCGAGTTGAGATCAAGAAAGCAATCTACAGTGTCGGACCATTTCCTTGTGAGCAGAAGGAAGTAAACACGAAAGGACAGGGGTTATTCTGTGCTCTGCTGCCTCACCCCAATAAACACACAGTACAGCTGGCAGAGACAACTACGTCGCTCCTCCAGGATCACACCCACATCCGCACGACTTTGGTACAGATTTTCATTTCTGGGATTAACAGCAGGACACACAAGGAATAGCATTCTATGTTTTAAGCCCATTTGGTACGTCTTATAATTTCACCTGAAAATAAAGCTTTGCTAAACATTCCCATGACTAACAGGCTTGCACCCATGAGGCCTTCCCTTCAGCATTAAGGCTGCAGTTCGAGGAGCGTTCCTGACACTGCCACCTCTACACAAATATATTTTCCTCTATTGATCCCAAAAGTCTAGGTCTCTTCCATTCAATCAAGAACAACTGGGGCGTAAACTGATGTGTTTTTATTCCTAGAGGGCAGCTCCATCTCTGAGAAATCGGCTCTATCACAGCATTTCTTGACCACCACCTCTACGCTTGGCTCTGTTTTGTCTTTGGGTGGCAAACAGGGGCTGAAGGCCCCACGGCTGCACAGCAGCGTCGGGTGCTCCCACGGGGATCGCGGGGACGCACAGACCTTTACCGGCGCTGCCCTCTGCCGCGGCCCCAAGGCGCGATCGGCACCTCCGGCCGCGAAGGGGAGGCCGCTGCAGCCCCCGCGCCGCCCCCCCGGGCACGGCAGTCACGGCCCGGGCTGACACCGCGGACTGAGGAAGGACAGCGGAGGGGAGAGCCGCCGCCGCCGCCGCCGCCGCCCCCGGCTCCGCGCCCCCCGGCCCGCCCGCCCCCCGGCTCCGCGCCCCCCGCACGGGGCCGCCGCGTGAGGACCGACCGACCGACCGACCGACCGACCGACCGACCTGCCGCGCGCCCGCGAACAGCGGCGCCAGCCCCGCCACGACAGCACCGCCCCCAGCCACCTCAGCAGCGGAACACGCTGCCGCCACTTCCGCCCTCAGCCACAGCCCGCCTCCTTTCGGGGAGGGCCAGTCAGCTGCAGCGCCGCAGAGATGGACGTGCCGAGCAGCTAATCGTGACGCGGCAGCGGTCCCTGCGCCGCAGGTAGACTGACACATGGCGCGAAACCACCAATCACGCATAGTGCTTTGGGACCCGCCCAATAACATGGAAGCAGCCAATCAGGAAGGGCTGCCCAGCCACGGTGCGGGCCGCTCACGAGGCCGTGGTTGGGTCGTGCTTTGACCCGGGCGGCCTCACGCCCAGCCCCGCCCCCACAATGCTGGCCCCACCCCTAGACTGATGGCTCCGCCCAATAAGGGTGGCCCGGCCCCCAGGTGGCTGGCTCCGCCCCCAGGCCGCTCCCCTCCGCGCCCCGGCTTCACTAGCAGCAGTTTTTCCTTTCAGCCGAAGTCCCGTGCTTTGGGGACCAAGTGGTTCATGCAGCATCCAGTGCAGAATGTGAATAACTTGTGCTTTGCAGCAAGATGTGGTCAGACGAAGAATTAATTCGCTGTTCCGTGACACATGTTGTAGACCAAAGGAGCGGATGTTTCTGCCCAGCTCCCGATGAAAACATTTCTGACTTCAGCTTTTATGTGTTATTCCCTATTGCCTGTTTTGAAGAGACTAGACTGCTTCTTAGCACATGTATGAGGAACACATCTAACTGTTGGAGCGAGTCTTAACAAAAGGTCCCAAAGATGATGAAGGTGCTGGAGCATCAGGCACGTGGGGAAAAGCTGAGGGCTGGCGTGGGGAAAAGCTGAGGGCTGGGGCTGCTTAGCCCAGAGAAGAGAGGGCTCAGGAGGGGAATCTCATCTATGTGCATTCATATCTGAAAGGGAGGGTGAAGACAGTGATGCCAGGCTCTTTCAGAGATGGGATGAGAGGCAATGGGCTCTCAATGAAACAGGCAATTACATCTGCACCTGCAAAAACACTTCTCCCCTCTCCGTCTGGTGTGAGAATGACAGAGCACTGGTTGTCCAAGGAGGCTATGGAGTCTCCTCTATCCTTGGAGATATTCAGAATACGCCTGAAAGCAGCAACCTATTCCAAGGGCCCTACCTGAGCAGGGGGATTGGACTAGGTTAGCTCCAGAGGGCCCTGCCGACCTCAAACCTTCTGAGTGAATCTGTGATACACATATGGCCAGCCACACAGAACAACAGGTAGAAAAACACTCACCCAACACTGATGGCACTGAAATCCTCATTTTTGTTCCCTTTCTGTATGTTCAGGACAAATGTTAGAAGCAAATACATGCCCACATACCACGTGGATGCCTCCAGTAGAGGGCTTGGACACATGGCCTGTGCCTGATTCTTGTCTCCCAGGCTGCTGGCTCCAAAGCTGTGAGCTCAGAAGCCAACAGCCACTCTCCATCTGCTGCTGCAGATCCTCGTGGATACACCAACACAAGCACTGTGGAGCCCTCCAGTTACTGGTGTTAGACTCTCAGTCCATGCAGTTACTGGCCCTGGATCCTGCCTCTCTCCAGCTGCCTCCTGCCGCGCACACAAGCAGCTGACCCCCAGACGTTACCATCTCTGCAGCAGCTGGCCGAGACCCTCTGGTCCCTCCAGTAGCCAACTCCTCCAGTTATCTCACTCCCACAAGCACACCTGGCTCCCAAGGCAAACCTGCTGCCAGACTCCTTGGCTTGATGTTTGCTGGAGATCACACGCTGACATGGACGCTCACTCCCTCGAGCCACCGACACCATGGACGTGCAGGTCCCACTGCCGCTGCTCCTACTTAGACCTCCATACACACACACAGAATAGAGAGCTCCTCACCCCAGAAATCAGTTAGAAATTGAGTTTAATGGGAGGAAAGGATAGACCACACTGTTTAGATACAGACCATGGCCACACACATGTAATGACCAGCAACCTATTTACATGTGATCAGTCACTTTTATCCTCTTATCTCTCTGTTTTCCCATGTTTATTACTACCAAAACCACTGTGATCCCTCCCTTTCCTCTGGAGATCCTCTCTGCTGGACTCATCGTAGCATCACCCCAGAGCCCATGAGGCTGATGGTCTCCTGAGGGATTCAGGCAGAGGCCCCTTTCTCTGGCTGGGTTACTGGGTCTCTCCCAGCCCGTGTGTCCCTGCTTTATTTGGAGATGAGCCTTTCATGGGCAAGTGGTTCTGCTGTGGTGGGCCTGCAAGGAGGCGGGGGGGGATGTTATTCAGTTTTCTCACCTGCCATTTTTCCTCTGTGAGGGGAAACAAGCTTTTTATGGCATAAATTAATATCATGTGTAATTTTTGTGATATGGTCTGGTGCTAAACTCGCAGAATGATCCCTACCTGAGAAGACAGACACTCAAATACAATTAGAGGAGTAGAACATAATTTTGCTCCACTTTAAATCCCACAATATGCAGCCTTTTCTCCTCATCTTCATACCTAATTATATCAAAGTTAAAAATAGAGTAGTGTGTAAAACCAGTATAGTTCTTGATGCCAGCGTCTGATTAACCTTCTCACCCTTTCTGATTTGGCTCCTGAAATAGCAGTGATTTGGTAGATTATCTTGTACCTTCTTTCCATTTTAAGAAAGCTGTTTATATCACTGAAACTTTCAGATTTGTAAATCAGCCTCTAAGGAGATTAAAATTTATAATTGGCTTCTGGAAGGTTAGGTCCCTCAACCAACGGAGACTAACATTGAATGTGCAGAGGAACAGATGGGCAGTGCTGCAAGAGCAGCAGGAGGAAGAAGATCAGTCCCGAGGTGTTCTTCTTTTGGACCATCCATACACATGGGGAATAACAGCAGCTCCACAGTGGATGATTTGCAGACTATTGAGATCCACCACTGGTACAAAAAGTTCATGACGGAATGTCCTTCTGGACAGCTGACTGAGCATGAATTTAAACAGTTTTTTGGGCTGCGAGGGCTGGATCCAGAGGCCAATGAGTATATTGAGCAGATGTTCCGCACGTTTGATATGAACAAGGTGAGTCTCCAGCAAGGAAATTAACTTCTGTCTACAGTTTAAGAGGAAACCGGGTCTTGAAGCTTTTGGAGTCCTTGATTTTCTCTTACAAACTCTGGTATGGAAAGCTGTTGAGGAACATCAATATAAAGTATTTAAATGCAGGAACAGGTTATTTTGCATAGATAGTAACATAGATAACATAATCATAGGCAATAACTCTTCATCATCTAAATGCTTTCTTCAAGATCATTTTTGAATTTTGAGAATCCTTTACTATGTACTAATTGAAGTGGTCTTGCTTGCCTAGCCTAACACTAGCACCAGCAAAAAGAAGATCAGGTTGGGATCTGGAGTTTTTTAAACACTTTATTATTCTTCAAAAACTTATTTGTATTAGGTATGACTGGTACCAAAACCAAATTAAACAGAAATATTTATTACATCTGCAGAGGAAGTGATTTCCAGGTACCTGGCAGCCAAAATTAATCTTGCTTGGGTAGACAATCTATATGGCTGTCCTCAGAAGTAGGAGATATAGTATATAACAGCAATTAGGAAGCGGGTAATATCATTTACTGTGACATGCAACCTCATCCTGTCTCTTGTATAAACAACCGTATCTCCCTTAGTGCCTTAAGGAGGACATGCCTTATGTCTGCCTGCTTCTATCCGTATACGTGGAAATATATATGGAATACACAGATCTGCAATGTGAATGGCAGATAAATTTGGTCTTATGGTAGCTTCGGAAAATTCAGATTTGGTCTCTGCTCCAAGATCAGAAACCCGAAGGAGTATATGTCTGGGAGTTGAGGAGGACAATTCACATGGACAGGAAATCACAGGATCATTTGGACAACATACACAAAGATAAAAAGAATTAAGGAATGCTAAATAATATCACAGGATGTTTAAAGGTAAGAGAGAAGCATTCAGGCTCCATTAGAGCAGCTGAGGTCCTGTGATGGATGTAATCACTGCAAATGTCAAAGATTTTTCTTCCTTTCTCTGAAGTTCTCAGTCTATAACATTGCCCAGAATGACAATAGTCATAAGAAGCAAAATTTTACAAGTTAAACCAAATGTTTACATTGCTTGGAGAAGATTACCCTTTCTCTTTAATTTTTTTTTTTGAGGTATTTAAGGACTTTGAAATTTACTCAAGGCTGTTATGCATTTCAAAGTGCTTGTAGGAGCTTCAGACTGTGCAGTAGACAATGCTTTAAGATGACTCTCAAATGCAGACTTGTTCACACTAAAATGAAAAGCTGAATTATCAAATACAGATCTGTTCACACTAAGATAAAAAGCTGATCTATCAAATAAAGCAGGAATAATCTCAAGAGGAATAAAGTATGTGTATGGCAGGAGGGTGTATGGCAGGACCTACATCAGTTAATTTTAGCCTGTTAATAGTTAGCCACTTAATCTTAGCTCCTTTTATAATCAATGACAAGGAACTAGATCACCCAGAAGAGTCACCCTGCAGTAATATAAGACGGATGGGATCATCTGCCCTCCAGACCTTCTGAGATTCTGAGAATGCTGCTGAGGGCAAAGAGGATAATTTTGAATAGGTATTTTATAAATTGCCATCACGCAATAGCAGTCCTTCCCATGTTTAAAGCTGCTTGGCTGTATTTTATGGTATTTTGCTCATCCTACTTATGAAAAATCTCACATAATGGGAGTATGGCCATGATCCTGAAAAAATACTTTAAAATACTGTAATCCTTGCTGTCAAATAGTAGTGCTCTGCTCATCCACCTACATTTCTTTTTCACTTATTTCAGAAAGGCATCGGATCTTGTTTGAATACCCCAGTAAATGAAAATTTAATTGCTTTATTTTGTGTCTTGTTGAAACAGTTATTCAGAATCGTCAGTGAGTACATGCAATTTATTTGCTGTTTCTATTTATTTGCTTATATTTTAGTCAATATTAAGTCTTTTCCCCTAGATTATGAGTCTTCAGTATT